GCTACTGGTAAAAGAGGTAGTCGAACTCCTCTAGACAGACTACTGGGAACACGGTGAATAACTGGGAACACCTGCTCAGGATTTAACGAGTGTTCAGTATTTATCAAATGAGCTAAGACTGCGCTCTGTTTACGCATTTGGTTACCCCTTTACTCAATCATACAGGTACATGTTCATATGTGCGCATGGATAAAGAAAACCCTTTGAGTATGGTCAATGTAACTAACTCCTCATGAGCAGTTGAATTCATAGATACACACTGATGAAGCCACACTTTTGGCAATTTATCTTTGGCTCATTGTGTGTGAGTACTGGTTTAAGTTGAGAAGTTGAATACCAGTTTATCTGCAGAAGATATTCTCTCTACTGCTCTATTAAGCCGAAATTTTAGAATGTCAGCTGCCAATTTTCCCTTTGTAACTTAACTTGAGATACAAAGGTTTCTTATCAACGGTACCCAGCGCTGAACCACCCACCCCCCCACCCCCCATAAACATTAGCACTTTAAATTCTGATCACAATCTTTTCCCTTTTCTTTTTCTTCTTCTTCTTTTCCCTTGTTTCATTGACAAACGTTTATTTCTGACCTTTTACGATTTCATGATCTTTCTTATGATTTCTATTGTGGTGGTGTGATACAGAATCTCATTGGTCATGACTTCTCTCTAGAACTCCAGGAAACCCCATCGTTTAGCAAGTCACTAGCGAGCATAAGATTCATAGGCGATTGAATCGAGTCCCAGTGGATGCGTACTGCCAATGATTCCCAAACCAGGATGAAACAGCTGGCTGTCTAGTACTCCATGGTTTTCGACGTTTGTCTAACTGATATCAATCCGTGGTCGAACCCGAAAAAAAATCCAATCCTTACAAATCAACTGTTGGAAATTTCTCAGTTTTGTTTATTTTTGCCTCTTGATGTCTTCAGAAAATTATCACACAAGTATATGCAGTCCAGTAATATGGTACTTATCCTGTTTGTTTTCATATCCCAATCTATATATATATATATATATAAACTTTAGGTATTCGATTTCAGTTTTAATATTTCTAATGTAATAAATTATGTGGGAAAGCTCTTCAAAGTCAGATTTATAAGGATACTTAACATTCAAAATAAATAAATAAATGTAATTAATTCGTAGCATAATTTGAAATCTAGCGAAAACATTTCGTTAAACAAGCGGATTATTTGACTCTTAATATCAACTAGTTATGTTTTCAATCAAACATTGTTTTCATTTCAGTATAAAGTAAAATATTTAAGATGTTTTTTGCTTTCTTAACAGTTCATAGGATTAATGCATAACGTGTCGTTAAATTACTGGTAACTGGTGCTCACATGTATGAACTCTGATCTAGATTTGACTTAATAGTTTCATAAATATTTGTATAAATCTCAGTGATATTGAAATAAATAAAATGTTTACTTATTTGTGTCAGTCAAACATATGAACTAATACAAGCGAGTATATCACTACGCTAAGCACCCCAAGAGGACTGATAGCTTCTACCTTGGCATGATGCCTGGACAAATATATCACATTCACCCTTTCAGCTTTGCTCTCACGAACAGATGTTTCTGTATTCCCTATCATGCTGTAAAGTTGTTATGAAAGCCTGTTATCATCACATATAAGCTAATTAGACTATGAGGTAGCTCTGCAGTCTATATTTTATGGCCACCAAAAAGGGCAAAGCTGCAGTAAGGTGTTGATCTGTGCCATCCAGTTAACCAGTCATGATGCCTCCCATCCTACATTGGGATGGAGGGACGTGCCTTAAAGAAACAGTATTCATTCGAGGTCGGATATTAGTTTTGACTTTTGAGGACTGTTGTCCACTTTGATATAGTATTCGGACATCAAAAGTTCCCATGTGGAGTCGTCACTTTGTTTCTTAGCCCTAAATATCTGTCAGTTATCACAGCGTTATGAGATGTAGAAGCTGACTAGAAAACGGTGTTAGTAGTGAGATGAAAGCATGAGAATGAGGATGAGTGACTGACGCTTGACTGAGTGATTGCTATGTCCCGACTGTTTCTGTCGTAAAAGTTGATTTATGCTTGCTTGATTGTAAATCCCAGAGGACAACTGATTGTAGCAGGTTATATACTGGTTGTTTGTCTGTGGAATTTCTGGAGTTCCATCCGCAGTAACAACGTTACCATTGGCTACAAACGAATACAATCACATCAGCATCCACAACGATAATTATCTCCACTACTAAGCTAATTATGGATAGGAAGTCATTGATGGAGAGAATCTATGGCAGATTGCTACACTTTCAGGAGTACCGAAGCCTAACCACCGCCTCCCCCGACGGGCATTGCTAGCTGATATAGGTGAAGGTTGGAAAAGAGCCAGTGGTGGCCAAACAAAAACATGGCCTCATCAATCCATGAAATAAATCCTTGACAGTTAAACTAAGTCGGTCAGGTAGGGAGATGCAGACTTCCGGGTTGGGGGCCTCGGGACTCTAGGAATCAATGGCTGGAGACAATAGGTGACATGGCTCAAAATCGTTGTCAATGGCCAGCGAAGATGTATTCAGTCTCTGTAATCTTTCATATTCCTTTCTACCATTACCCATTCTGTTTCACTCTTATACTTGTCAAACTCTATTGATTCTCTTCACTCATCCTCTTGTCTACCTCTGTGTGCTATTTGGAAGGTGGCAACTGGAACTGGTGCACTTCGGTGCCAAGTTCTATGTTGAATCCAGACAGACAGACAGACAGGTGTGATACAGCGTGTCTCAACGAAATATTATTCTCACATATTTCCACAATTCAATACTGCATTAGCAACAGAATGTTGAACATTCTATTTCATATCGTTTATTGTAAACCAAAATCACACGTTCACTGATTGGTTAAAGAATATGAAAGTATATACGTAATTTCATTTCATGTTCTTCTCATTGATCATGTATATTCAAAAACTAACTGACTATTAATTCCATCCCACCATGTGACTTATACTTGTTCCACAAAAACACTTTCTTATATGATTCTAATTTGCCTTTACTGGCTGGCTGGCTGGCTATTGTATGCTTAAATTAATAGAATTATAATTGTACAGCCTGGGGAAGAAGAATAATTTATCGGTTACAAGATTTCAACATGAGATGACAATGGTCAGAGAACCATTGGAAAACCCACTACGGGATATTGGTGATCCATGCCATTGCTACACCTTTTGTTTGTGTTTATACATTTTGCCTTGGAATCTAAAGATAGTAGATGTGAGGCAGCATAACTGTGAATCCCTAAAATAATTTCTTCAACGGGCAGCTTTATCCTATGATTGAGTTACTTACTTTTACTTTACTTTACTTCGGCTATCTCCTAAGGGAAGATGAGCCGGCTTCATGAACGTCTCGAATCATCGCTGCCCAGGCGCGGCAATTTGTAAGAGAGTTCATGAAGTTTCATGGGAATTTGGTACGAGTGATGTCCCCAGAATCGCTCGGCCTTTTGTTTGAGAGTGCAGCTCTAGCCTTTACACAACCAAGTGTGACCTACAAGGCAGTAGGAGTGGAGTAAGGAGTCCACTATCCATTGGCAGCCGATGACCGGAGTTCGGTTCATACGCCTTTTTGAATGGGGCCAGACATCCAGGACATCCAACAAGCCCTTTGTCCATACGTCTGCCGGTGAGCTCCAGTGAGCTTCATACGCCAATCGTTGGAGGTTTGGAATCAGGGTTTAGCCATCTCCCCTAGACTGTCATCCAATGGACAGTCAACCCGGTGGAGAGCGCCAGGCATCCGCTTTCGCCCTCTCACTTTGGTGAGAAACACCTCCGCCACGTGAAGGCAGTGAGTAGGACTTCCTCAGGATCTGCAGTTAGTTCTTTTTTAACTGCTTCTAAGGCTGCCATATTGATTGGTTGGTATATTAGAATAAAGACTAGCTATATCAAAACTAACCATTTCTTCATCATTCTCTAGTTGAATGTTATAAATCATCCACTGTTATACCATATAAGGAGGGGATATCTGAGATCCCATGTAGGATTCTTAATAAAGCAGGAATTAGGTTGGTGACATTGAAACCTACAAACTCACTCAGGTAGCACAAGCTCTGCAGATTAAACGACCCTGTCGGTGGACCCAATTAAAGAAAATAATATAGTTTACAAAATACCCTGCAATGACTGTGAGTTAAGTCAACTACATAGGTGAAATTCGTAGATCGGTAGTAGTGAGATTATCAGAACATCAGAATTTAGCTAAGGTTAGAATAATTGATCCCACGAAGACAGATGAGTAATTTAGAAAACAACTCAGCGATTACACTGCATGCATTGTCACACAACTACACAATAGGGTGGGTGGGAGAGGGTTAAAATTCTAACAAGTAATACAGGTAGGTGCAGAGAGAGAGATTGATCACTGAATAAAGCCTGGTTCATCGAGTCCACACCCAACACAAGCAACAGAAATGACTCACTGCAAATACCAGAGATATGCATGGAAGATATTATTACCACCAGTCAGTCAGTCAGTCAAATCAGAGGAGGATAATAAATAATCTCAAAATTCTATTTCAATTCACGTACACATCACAACATTCTAACAAGTAACTCATTGTGACTATAAAGACACTCGTCTTATTTCCCATCTGATTGTATTTGGTGAATAACACTCATATTATTATTATTATTTCTGAATGGACATTATCTCATACTGACTTTTATTCAAATATCTAATCAATTTTCACTCATGTATATAAATGAAGCAAGAAAATTGTGTGTAAGTAGTGCCTTGATATGATTATGAGTGGCAATCATTTGTGTTCGGAACGTGGTCAACAGTTAATATTACTGTACAACAAACACACTGCGAAACTTTATCAAAATAAAATATTATCCATCATGGAACTAATGACACGTCAATTTCGAAATAAAACTACAAGAAGAAAAAATAAATCAATAAAACTTTGCAAGTGATGCAAAAACGCGGGTGTATTTAAAATTAAATTTGATGTTTCTTACTTTGATAATTGAAGCATTTGACGGCTAAGATTATCTAATTCACTGAAAACTTTAGAATTAGAATTTGCCGTTTGTCCACGTCCTGTGCAGGAGGAGGAAGAGGAGGAGGAGGAGGCTTCTAACTTTGAAGGTTTGGTTTGTACAGAATTGAAGATAGTTGGGTAAAGTGTTGATGAGACGGATGTCACTAGAAGAGAGGAGAAGCGGGACGAAGGAGGGAGGGGAAGGGAGGGAAAGAAACAAAATACAAGATATAAAGTATGCAGAATAGATACGCTAAAAATAGTTATTTCAATGCCTATTTTGAATAAGTTGTCCAGGCATACATTGGTACGACAGGAACACACTGGAAGTTTTAAACTTCGCCGACGATTTAATGTCTAATGTTATACAAACTTGAAGATCTACAGGCAAGCACCGATAGGTTGCCAGAAAAGACAGAGGCGCAGAAGATAGGAGTTCAAGGGAATAGGGAGAACACACCTAGATGATTAAGATAACCGAAAACCAACAACAACAACAACAAGCATCCTTGACCGATAGCTGTTGCCTTGACGTGGTGGTCGGGCTTGCATATCACGATGACCCAACAAGCTACATTGGCTAGAGCCAAATGTTCCTGCAGGTCTTACCATGCCAGAAAGGTTGTTAGGATAGCCGATTAGATTAAAAGCAGTTACCGGCTTAGTGTAAGAATTTTTCTCGAGTTGAGTGCTAGGTAGGTAGGTAGGTAGGAGGGGAAATCCATCGACGAGGTTGTGAAGTTACATCCATTAAGATGGTTAGGATATGTGTTATGCATGCATGATTAACCTAGCCATCGGCTTCCTCGACATCGGGTGAAACTGGAAAAGAACTAGCGGCGGTCAAATCAAAACATGGCTTCGTCAATCAACGCAATCCAAAACAGTTAGTTTAAGCTATGTAGGGAGGTGTAGACTTCCTGACTGGTTGGAGTCCTTTGGATGGTAAAAACCAATGGAGGCTGGAGACAATCGGTGATATGGCTGGCTCAGAATCGTTCTCAATGAATAGCTCAGATGCATCCACTCCATGTGACTCATAATTTCCAATGAAACTATATTGTTCCTTGTTATTTCTATTCCTTTTGTCTCATATCCTTGTCTACTGTCTCCGTTATACATTTCTCCTACTTTCTCTTGCTTTGTGTGCTACATGGAGGGAGTGTGGCGACTTGAATTGCTGCACATCTATGCAACGTTCTATGTTGAAAACAGATAGTGTTATGTCACTCAACAGTTGCCTCAGAGGTTTTCCAGTAAACCTACATTTTCTTCTGCGTATTGCTTGAGCAACAGAATATCTGCATGGTCATCTTTTCTGGCTGGTCCACCATTTTTGATCTTCAGTATCGAGGCAGAGAAGGCAGTGAATGTTAGTAAAAGTTTGGAATCCTTTTGGAAATGCTTGTGGTGACCTACAACAAGTCTGTGAAACTAAACAAAGTCCTACAGGAGGTCAATCGCAAGCCCGAATAACTCAGTAGCAATGTTTCTCACTGCAGGCAGCACTGGGTAACACGGATTCGAATTTTAGAAGGCACATGAATTCCTCCCACCCCACAATATTGTAGATACACGCCTTGCTATGACGAATGTCAACAGTAGGCACAAAGACTACATGAAACAGGACATTCTGCAAACTACCACCTCCAACCATCTAACAAAAACAAAACAATTCAAAGTACATCGCGAGATGGCGATCTACCACTCACCATGGTCGCTCATGCATAGAAAAGCCCACAAAAAACACTATTCCCCCGTGGCAGGCAATAACAGACGATTAACTTACCATTTGTTGAGATGTTGTTATTACTAGACAGTGTAGAAAAGATATCCTCAAGATCTTCATAATTCGATTTATGCCCACGATTATGATTATGATTATTATTAGTAGTAATCAATGAAATTTGATTCGTCGATGATGGAATGAGTTGATTAGCACCACCAACACCAACTCCACCGCCAGTTGAAGATCCATTTGTACCACTGACAACAGTTGGACTCAATGATATATTATTATTACTACTACTACTACTAGTCGACAATAGCATTAAGACATCCGCTGAGGATACTGTCAAAGAAGAAGGTTTAATTGGATCGTCTAAACCTAAATTCATTAAATCTTGAGTAAGGAGATCAGGAATTCGACTGCTGCCGCCGCTTGTTGTTGATGATGATGATGACGATGCGGCATCATTGATTTCATTCTTCGATGGTGATGACGACTGTGAACTATTCTTGACCGGGGTAGATGACGCTGACGATGCTGAGGATGATGGCGGTGTTGATTTGACGTGATCTCGTTTGCCTCCTGTTACCTTCTGTTCATAATTTGATATCACTTCACTGGCTCGATCACATATTCGACCAATTTCAGCTAAAATTTAATAAAAAAATTTTTTCTTGACAATCGATAAGAGGTTAGTTAACACATTGGTAACCAAATGAAAACAAAAACGCTTGCATAGTTTTTTATTTTTTTTATTTACAGCTTGATTCCACACTATATTTTGCGTACAAGAGTATGGAATTTTCAGCATGTGATATCAGTAGCCCAAATTTTGCAGGCCGACCATAGATATCAGCCAAGTGTGTGTCGGCAGGGAATCGAACCTCGGACCATGTGTATGGTCGGCGGGAGTCCTAAGCACCGTGCCACCGACACACAGTCACTAAACAAGATGGAAGGTTGAAGATGAAACTAGCACATTGTGTCCCCGACTGACTAACTAACTACCAACACAAGAACTTTGCAGAGAAGTGCAACAGTTCAATCTATTGGAGTGTGGTGAGAGCTGGCTGCGAACAAGCCCTAAATTGTCGACAACAATACAGTATAAAAAGGCGTTTGTTAGGCGTGTTTTTTTCAACCCCATTCACCGTACTCCACACACACACAAGTGAAGAAGAAAGACAACACCTCACTGAAACATCGTTAGATAACAAAATACCCGCTGAGATCTATTAGGCGTTACAGAAATGTCAACCCAAGAGCTCTACCGATCCTGTCCTGTAAACCCTCAAAGCGTTCGAACGATAGCGTCACATCTCATTGTGTTTATCAATCTACATTTATGTGTGGACATACGCATATGAAGAGGACCGATCGGTACCTGAGGTGTTAGTGGTACAATGGTAGAATGTTCGCCAACCACGCAGGTGGCTCGGGATTCGACCTCCGGCCGACGTACTCCTTCACCTCGCCAAGTCAGTAGCAAGATTGGTAAAGCGGGAAGGCTGGGTATGAGGATAGTAACCCCACTCCGTAAAAATAAATATCACTGCTAGTGAAACTTCAAGCCTCCAACTTGAAGCCTTAAATTCCACTGAAAACGTGAAGGAATCAAATATTTAAAAAAAATCAGTCTCTGAAGGTCGGGACTACAGAGCATATCCCAAAGTGGCTGAAACAATAATAAAATCACCGGATGCAGCTGATCCCGAAATAGATGTTTAACATCATCCGCAGCGAAGCACTTTATAGAGATGGGTCACAAGGTTGATTTCGATAAGGTTGGGTTGTGGTAAGAGCTGTCTGCAAGTCAAAATTGGTAGACAATAATTCACGTCAGTGTTCACGTCTCGAATCAGGGTCATGAGAAGAACAACAATAACAAAGATTAACTTTGAGAAAACCACCAACCAATCATAGCGGAGTTAATGTGTGGAAATATGATTAGCAGGTATATATGGCTTAACTTTCTGAGAAACGGTCACCAACAGTACAGAATGACCTTCAGCAAGAAAACAACCAATCAGAAGACGCTGCTTCTTCACTAATAATAACGCTAATAATAATGTACATAAAAATGTCTATAAATACCTCTTAATTTTCCCAACAAACAATCTGTTGCTTGACTCTTGTCTTCTGTCGTCACACTAGTGGATATGTGAGATGACATAAAGAGTGAATGCATCTGTGCTATTGAGAACGGTTTAAAGGTATATATATGACTATTAGTCTCCAGTTAATAGTTCTTAGCTAACCAGGCAGTATACACCATTATATATGTGACTGGCACAAATGACAACTGTCAAACACTTCACCATCAATAACATTCTTCCTGTCAAGCCAAAAATACTCATCTAAGGTGATGACTCAGTGCATGCGCAGTGCAGTGCAACACGTACCCTAGCCATCTTAATCGATGTAGCTTCACAACCTTATCAATTGACTCACCTACCCCACTTCTTACTTAAAACTGTACGCCTAACTCGAATATTATTCACCATAATATAACACCTAGCCTTAGCGTCCGTCCCAAGGACTTCATACAGACGGTCTGGGCCTTCATATGTGACACGAACCAGTAGTCATATCATGGTTTATCAGCAATCCTTAACTATTTTTTCAACTTAATCCTATGACTGCCAACACTCCTGAACAAGGAAGCTGATAGCTTGCAAAGCATGACACCTATCCTAGCTACCTTAATTAATATAGTTACAAAAGCCTCATTGATCAACTTTTCGTCCTCGCCTAACATTAGTATTCAATATATTATTACCAAGTAACACAGGAGATAGAACGCATACACGTCTGGTCAAAGATGGATAACCTTTTCATATATTTCATGTCCAACGACTATATCTCATAACCATTAAGACAGACAGTCTAAAATGTCGCGCAGTGCACACGTCCCAGTGGAACATAGGGCGGCTTCAAGCTAGAAGCTTGAAGTTTCCATAGCAGTGGTGTTTGTTTATTTTTGTTTTACGAGATGGGGTTGCGCTAGCCCTAACTAGCACAACCTTCCCTCTTTACCAGCTTTCTTATAACTGGCTTAGCGAGGTAAAGATGGAGTGCGTTGGCTCAGACTCAGAAACAAAAAAGCTCCGGGCGAAGATGGTCTACCTCCAGAAATATACAAGGCCTGCACTCCAGCGCTAATCGATTCACTGCACTCGCTGTTCTGCTCAATTTGGGAGTCCGAAACCATTCCTTCCGATTGGAGCACCTCAGTTCTGCTACCGTTCCACAAAAAGGGAGACAGGTCAATATGCGAGAACTACCGAGGCATAAGTCTGATTGATATCGCTGCTAAGGTTTTTGTTTCCATTCTCCTGAACCGCTTCGCGGCCGAACGCCACGTGCGAACAAGGCCAAATCAAGCCGGATTTCGACCTGGAAGAGGCTGTGTTGATCAATTATTCACACTGCGAAGAATTTTGGAACACAGGGACAAATTCCAACAGCCGACGGTTGCTTGCTTCATCGACTTCCAAGCGGCATTCGACTCAGTTGATCGAGGAGCACTCTGGTATCTAATGGAGCTCGACGGAGTTCCGACCAAGCTAATCAACCTGCTCAGGTCATACTACTCCAACACCAAAGCTCGAGTCCGAGTGAACGGTGAAGAGTCCGCACTTTTGAGGTAACCAGCGGTGTCCGGCAAGGTTGTCCAGCATCCCCCATCCTGTTCAATTTCACAATTGATTGGATTTTGCGGCACGCCCTAACCGAGCACCACGGCGTCCAACTTTCGCCCGATATTCACATAACCGACCTCGAATTCGCCGACGACGTCGTGCTATTAGCTGAAAACTTCCCCGATATGCAACAGGCGCTCGACCAGATAAACCACCTCGCGCCTACTATCGGTTTGAAAATTAACACTTCCAAAACCAAAATGTTTTCGAACACATCCACCAGCAATGATGAAATCTTATCCCTAAATGGAGCACCTATTGAAATTGTGCCATCCTTCAGATATCTGGGATCCATAATGCTCCCCAACGGCCAAGCGAAAAACGAAGTGAATGCGCGAATCTCCAACGCCCGGAATGCGTTTCTACAGCTGAGGAGCGTTCTATGGAGCAAGAGAGAAATCAGTCTCAGGACTAAAATTCGGGTCTACCAAGCTTCCATACGACCCGTTCTCCTGTATGGCTGTGAAACCTGGCCTCTTCGCGCGGAAGATTTACGCAGACTCGAGGTAGTAGACCATTGGTGTCTCAGGTACATTCTGCATGTTCGTTGGCAGGACAAACTCTCCAACGAAGAAGTGCGTCGTCGTTGCTACAACATCAACCAAATTCCAGTACTGGTCCAACAACGCCGCCTTCGGTGGTTTGGCCATGTTCTGCGCCGACCAGATGACGATCTGGTCAAATCAGTTCTAAATCCCTCGCCATTACCATCTTGGCGATGTCGCAGGGGGGACAGCTGAAGACATGGCTTGGTACAGTCAAGGCTGATATGGAGTGCCTGGGGCTACAAACCGTCTACGGACTCCGTATGTGGAACAAGAATTGGATATCCCTATCGCAAAACCTTGCATCAGATCGCCGCGCCTGGGCAGCGATGATTCGAGACGTTCATGAAGCCGGCTCATCCTCCCGTAGGAGATAGCCGAAGTAAAGTAGTAAGTAAGTAAGTGCGTTGGCAGCCGGGGAACGAATCCTGAGCCACCTGCGTGGTTGGAGAACATCCTATCGCTGTGCCACCGACGCACAGGTCTACTAGTATTACTCGTGTCATACGACACCAGAAGTGAAATCAGTTTAGAAAGATAGTTAACATGTTTTAAGTCGATAAGTCATTTAGATAGAAAGATAGATAGACACACTGGGGTTCAAGGTAATTTAGAAGAAAAGATGGGCACTGCATTTGGTGACTTAGTCAAATCAAGTGATAAGTTGTCAACTTTTATAGATTTTAGTGTCATTTATTGCTTAACTTTGGTATATTGTGTGAAAATCTCAGGCGACCACTACAATGATGTTCAGGAGGGTTTCGTCTGTTTTTAGAAATGTGTCGGCGGTTGTTACTTCCTGGCTGCTCACACCGTGGAAGTTGATTGATTTTTCGGGTACCTGAAACAGAAACAAAGTTAGTATTGCGTGACCGAAGAGCCCAGGGACAACTGCTTGAGGTAGGTCATACACGGCCGTTATTAACTGATTTCTCGATATTGTTCCGTATTAGTAAATTTACCGCCGGTGACGGACCACGGTAGGGTAAGACGGGATATACAATTTTTAAGGTCGACATTTTCTAACCCCCCTTATCTTCCGAGTGGAGAGACAGCATAGCTGGCATGCTGTTATAACCTCTGTCCCCCACCAGAACGACTTATGCCGGTAACTGCTTTTAGCCTAACCGCTATCCTAACAACCTTTCTAACATGGTATGACCTGTAGGAACAATAGTTCCAGCCATTGTAGCTTCTTGGATCATTGTGATAATATGCTAGCCCGATCACCACGTCAAGGTAGCAGCTATCGGTCGGGAGGCGACCAGTGCTACTAATTTCGTTTCCCTCTTTGCGCATAACATTTAAAAATAAAAAAATCTTTTGCGGTAATCGTGGATTTATTGTGTTTTTCAGTATCTCTCATTTAAAGCCCATATATATGTATCCAGTCAAGCTGGAGAGTATTTTAGACGTCTTATTTGAAACAACAATGAAAGCTGTCTTCGTGATATGTATCCATATATATATATATATGTGTGTATGGTGGTCTCTCTTTCTGTTGCTTTCTTAGTCTGTGACCATTTTACTTTGATGAACCTGTCTCCTTTAACAATGTATATTCCCCTTATATTATATATAATATGTGTGTTTGTTGACAGTCTGTCCTTGGTGATATATATCCATATAATATGTGTGTTTTGCTTGACAGTCTGCTATATTTTGCTATGTATATATGGATCGATACTCCATTATAATTAGCCAATCATGTTAAGACTGTCTATTGATTGTTCACACACTTGTTTGGACATTCACATATATATATTTTTGCTCGCACACTCTTGTGGGACATATTGATTCTCCTTGTGTTTGGAAAATAGAAGTATCATTGCAAACCTCGTGGTCTTCTGATTTCCGTCTTTCTTGCGTCAGGACTATTAAATACACAAAATCGCATTGTTTGTAGGAGGGATGGGATATTGCTCGGATGTAAGTGGATTATCTCAAGGGAGCACTTCCGCTGAGTTTTTGAATTGAATTCTGATCTACAAGGCGGTGGAGCAGAGTTGGAAGTCACGTACCCCATATGGTGTGTATTCCGGTGACCCATTACAGGTTCTCACACACGCCATTCGATCTTTTCGAATTCTAAAGCCCATGTACACCGCCATAGGTTTAGAATCAAGGTTTTCTAGAACCGCTAGCGCATTAGGTATGCACTTATGATTATTATTATTATTATTCCCTTGGGTTCCAAGTGGAATATACGGCTCCAACAACACGCCTCTACTTTCTTTTATTTGATGATGTCTTCTTCAGTTGGCTACATGATTTCCCATAATTTCTCATCTCCTCCATGTCACCATCAATGTGACTAATCTTGATGTGATTTTGTTCTCTGAGCTGGATGGTTAGTTTGCGAAGCTCTCATCACCTTACTGGGTGACATCTTCAGCGCATACTTCAATTCATTGAAGTGAGCTTTTAGATTTCTCCACGCGTTTATTAATCATCTCTCCTGGTAACCTTGGACGTGATTCATTGTTGTTTGTGTGTGTTTTCACACCTTCTAGGTTACTTGCATTGGAACCGGTTGTTTCTTTGACTTGAACTTTGACCCTTTGTGTGTGAAGTTTCTTTCTTATTGGTTGAAGGTGAGGTGATGAAAGCTTCGCAAACTAACCATCCAGCTCAGAGAACAAAACCGCATCAAAATCATCCACCTGAGCTACAAATCTTCTCTATCATATGTGACTAATCACTTGTCGCTTCCCATTCGGCTACTACTCGAGTTGTGGCCTGCATTGAGCGCCATATCACGACGACCTCCTCAACGTATGCCCGATCTATCCATCTCCACATTTTCTCCTACATATTTGTTGAGCAATCGTCCGTTTGGGGGATTGCTTTGCATAGCGCTCCATCTGCTAAGTCGTATTTTCCCGATCACACTAAAAAGTGTGAACGACAAGAGACGAGAGAGTTCTACTACCACCTATAACATGAAGTAGGAAATACTATCCAAAGGGTTCATGAGAAGACGTTTGAAACAGAATGTACACAAAAAAGCCATAAAAAAAATGTAAACTAGCTCACTTAATGTCTCCATATCTTGTTCTTCATGGGTTAAAGAGAAACTGTATAATAATGGACGTGCTTTACGGATATTTTCGACCAGTTCCTATAAACGTACAGAGTAAAAATCAAGGAGTGAGCAGCTTGCAAAAAAAGGAAACAGTTAATTATCGAAGTGCGTATGTATGTATTTATGTATGTATCAAACACTGATGTGAAATGGATGGAGTTAACAATGCCCAGAGTGAGGAGAGAGACACTTACCGCCAAAATAATAACTTTTAATAACGCTATATACCTTGAATCAGCCACTGAATCCCATCCAACTGGCTGAATGATAACATTCTCATGTCATAACTTGAAGAATCTAACTACAATGCCCCAGGGCGGTCATCGGTCTGCACAGTGAAGAGTCTTTCTCCAGGACGAAATAACTATCCAATAATTTCTGCAGATTTTTAATGATCTTCTCTAACTGATGTCAATCCGTGAACTCATTTGCAACCAATCTCAAATCTCCCCAGCCAACCAACAATTTGCAAAATAATCCAACACTCAATGGTGAGTCCCTACAAGATGTAGCTGCCTGGAGGTATGTAGGGAGAAATAAGGACCACCAGTAAGGCCCATGATATCGAGTGTGAGAAATAACATTCGCTGACGGCAGCGCCTCAAATCGAGAATTAACAGAAAGGATAATAATTCATAAGCTATCCCCAGTGGCTGAATAGTCGATAATATTCCCTCGGAACTCGATAGTCCAGGGTTAGACTTTTGGTTGAGTTGTCACTGTGAAAAAGCCTGAAGAATCCCGAAATAGGGGGAAAACAGTTACCCAGTTCTCCACCTGGATTTCAATGGTTCTCTAAATGATATTGTTTCGACATAAAATATTTTCTAAACAATAGAAGAATAAATTACAACTGACAGTATTCTTTATTCCTTAGCATTCTACAAGAAAGAAGAGCCCTTCGAAGCTTGAGAAGGGTTAATAGCCTCACACATACACACAATCTTACAACTTCTCCGGACTTTCTACTGTCTAGGAGAGGTTTACGAGTAGTGAATCCACCGGGAATCGAAACCCGGACCAACCCACGTTGCTGCAGAGCAATCTTCCACTGAAAAACGAAGATAAACACAGCTGACGTACTTAAAGCTTTTAATCGTAGGCAAAAAGCAATACAGACAGACAGACAGAGAGACAGATTGACTGACTTACGCTCATTAATTCTAATTCAGCCTCTGTACTTTCACCAAGCATATATGTACTAATCATTTCTTCTAATAATATTGTATTATTTCTTAAGGCTTCCATTTCACTAGTCCTTTGACTCACTTTCTCCATACGTACTTGATCCTGTAAGCAAAATAAGCGGAAACCAAGAACAAAAGTATTATGGAATAAGTTCACAAAACCTTTACAGTTATATAAAAATTAACCCAACCGTTGAGCAGTAATAAAAAAAAGAGATATAGAATTTCAAAACTTTATTCTAACTACTGATATAATAGATGAGTAGTAAGAAAGCATTAACGGAAAGTTTCACAGTACTCAATGGGGCTAAGTATCAAACATGAGAGAACTTTGCCCAAAAGTGTAAACAGTAATTCAAGTCGGCAGACTTCATGTAACGCATGAATGTTGACAAAAAAAGATTTAAAAGAACTATAACAAGAAGAAATGTAAGGCAAAAAAGGACAGTAACATGGAAAAACATGAGTGAATATACATCTGAAAACGATTTTACACCATATGAGCTAATAGTATTAAACCATTAATTCTTAGCATTACTGTCTGCTGCTCTATGAAAGAAACACAAAAAGGGTTATTTGGAAGTGACATACAATAACAGTGAGAATAGTGGGGCACTTAATGAATACACACCTGTCCTAGTGCAGACAACGTTTCAGTCCCCCCAACAACATTCTCCAACCGTTTATTTTCAGTGACACGTGGGCCACCACCTCCTAGGTGGTGTACACTCTCCACCCCCCCCTAAGGAACCCTAATGAACAGATAAAGGGTAATGGATTGATGCCATATGTCTTCGTCCAAAAGCCCCTAACTCTCCCAGTCTTATCATATATCTGCTACAATTGCTACAATCGAAGAAACCGATGCCTCCGGGAATGCTCAAACGTATATCCTAGGCATTTCAAGAGACTAGGTTTCTCATCTTACCTAACACAAGATGTAACTCATTGACAATCAATTTGAGTCCTAGGGGATAATCTACCTCGACTTATTTCAGTGTGAACAACTGCATAGCGTCGTCAGTCAGACACAAAAAGAGAGGTTATTCACTGAAGCTTTGTTTATCGACTCAACATCGCACACGTACAAATTGAAATGACTCAAAACAAATTCCAGAGATATGGAAAGTTACAAAAAACAACAAAGCGGAGGGAGAGATAAGGAAAAACACATATAAAGGCAATTATGAAGCCATGTTGAAACAGTAGAAGACGAAAGACTTGATAAAGACATGTTTATTTGGAAATTGGAAACTCCATCTGGCCAAATTATGTAAACCTTATATCTTCAACGCCACACCATTTGCACAGATCTCCGACGGTGTGGTACTTTTGGACTTCATATTCGTGTTTCTTTATGTTCCTTTTACGTTTCCTATGCTATTTGATGTTTTTATGTTGGTGGATGAACGTCCCTTTATATACTACTGATAAATCTTAGCAGTAGTACTACTTGTCACAATGTGACTAAAGTGATATGATTATGAGCTATAAATTGTGCTTGAAACATTGTCATCCAGTTAGTATGACTGCATGACTGTGTGTTATTTCAAATTAAACTCATCTAACTGTGGAATTACATTCCACCCCAGTGTAGCCAAGCTCCACACTTAAATCAAAGCCATCAGCCTCTATTACATAATAATTGTGGTTCACATTATAGCCCAGGAAGTGAATTCATGCAAACCACACTTAACGCAGGCTCCATATTGATCGGTTTTTTTTTCATCTTACAGAGAGTCTAGGCACTCGGAGATTCAGGCTTTTGAAATTCCCTTAGGTGTGGTGCTGTTTTCCCTACCAGGTGGTAAAGGGTGGGCGATGCTCCTAGTCGCACTTGATACCTTCCCTCTTTTCCTCGGTTTACATACCCGGTTAGCAAACAAACCATCGCCTTCTTCAACATCGGGCAATGTTAGCTGACATAGGATCAATCAAATTGGAAAAGAGAAGGCTAGTGGTAGTCAAAACAAAACATGGCTTCATCACTAAATGAAATCCAAAAACAGTTAGTTTAAGCCAGATAGCCATGTAGGGAGAAAAGTAGATTCCTGTCTGGTTGGTGTCATCGGAACGGTAAAAACCAATAAAGGCTGGAGACAACTGGCGATATGGTTGGTTCAAAATCATTCTTAATGGCTGGCACAGATGTTTCCACTCCTTGTGACCCAATAAAAATATATTGTTCCTCCATATTACCATTCTTTTTGCCTCATAGCTCTGTTTACTGTCTCTATTTTGTATTTCTTTTTACTTTCTTCTCTGACTTTGTGTGCTACACATGGAGGGAGTGTGGCGATTCAAACTGCTACTGCACAACGATGCAAAGTTCTATGTTTAAACCAGTCAGTCAGTCAGTTAGTCAGGAGTGTATCTGCAAGGAATTAAACTCGGACCTCCGGCATATCTAACAAAAAGTCTATCACTGAACCATGAAAAGGCCAAGAGGAATAATTTAATTTACCAATGATGTTCATCAATTCCTATGCGTAATAATTTAACTATCATAATTTTAGTACAGGAAGTATAGGAATTCGATCATTTAATATTGGTTATGTCATTGAATTTTGAATGAAATAATATTTATCTACAATATTTCTTGCATTGACTCATATTACATAACTTGAAAGTCACGCACAATTTTAAGAATCAATAATACTCGCTTTATTTTTTTTTATTGATATAACTTAATCACTGAATTCCGCACCGATATATTGAATAAATCCAAAGGAAATACAAACATTTTTTTAGGAGTAAGCTTATAGGGATTTGATATCAAATAGAGTAGTGGATAGCTGTTTCGTCCTAGTTTCGGACTATTGGCAATACGTACTCACTGAGGTTCGAGTCCAGGACCTTCAAGTTACAAAGCAAGCTCATAGATCATTCAGCCACTGGGATTCGACTTAGTCATCGACCAATTCGTGATTTTAGTACAACCACAAGGCAATGTCATCGGAGGGAAATCCTAATGAGTTCTAGTGAGAAGTCACGACCAATGCGATCTCCATCCAGTCGCAAGTGAGAATAAAGTTCCCACCGATGACATAGGTTGATGGTCGCGCTAAATGCATCACGAGTTGGTAGAAGTTAAAATTCATGGACTGGTCACATTGAGTTGGGTCTCAGTGGTTAAACGGTTTACGAAGTTCCTTTGTAAATGAAAATAAGATCCGGATTTTCAACTCCGATCTGTAATCTAGTCAGTGCTACATAAAACGGTCAGAGACTTGGCCAGCGCGTCATGAAGAGCATCTCAAGCAAATTGCAGACCTCCATCAACAACTGCCTTCGCTAAATACTACTCAAGATCAGATGGCTGGCCAGAAAAGATCAGTAACAAGGATCTCTGGGTGTGGACCAACCAGGAACCTATTGTGCAACAAATAAGCAGGAAGAAATGGAGTTGGGTTAGCCATACATACTCTGAGGAAACCATCAAGTGACATCACTAGACAAGCTATAGCTCGAGTGGAACCCGAAAAAGAAGCGGCGAGTTGGTCGTCAGTGCGAGGGTGACTTGGAGGAGGTCATGTGAAGAGGAGACGAAAGAATGTGGGGGGGGCAGACTTGGAGCCAGGTGAAAACTCTAGCAGAGAACCGAACACAATGAAGATGCTGGGCTGAAGTCCTATGTTCTTCCAGGAATTAAAGGAAATAATACTAATAATATTATTACCACCAGAAGTCTTCAGGCATTGATTCGAAGCATTTCAATGACCCCCGTGTCAGATAGTCCACAGTAACAGTTGAAGATTTAGTGAACTGATGCCATATGCTTTGATTTAATTACTCATAACCTCTTTTTTTTAACTTAATCCTATTGCCAGCTAAGATTACTCTTTGAGGAAGGTGACGACTCAGAATACACAACACGTGTCTTAGCCATTTCAGTTAATGTAGGTTGACAACTCCATCGATTGACTTGCCATTCATACTTAATGTTGTACGCCTAACCATAATATTATTCAAAATATCATGACATTTAACACAGAAAATATATAGCACAAACATCTATAGTCATGTCTTCCACTTTCGCATGAACATGTCTCACAGTCATAAAGAAGAGTGATCTGTTGTACAGTAACACACATTCTTTGATGGATAACCGGATACCATGTCTACGCAAGTGGGTGTGATTAGTGTTGCTATGCACTCCAGGCTGAATAGTTTGGAAACAAAGCTTTCTTGATCAGATGTCTTTATCACTACGAGTCTATTAACTCTCGTCAACTGGATAGTGAAAATGCAGTGCTCATCAGTTTCAGCAGGTGAGAAAAGAGGTAGCTAGTGGTGGCTGCAATAAAACATGACTGCATTAGTCAATGAAATCTATAACAATTAGTTCAAGCTAGCCAGCTACGTCAATAGGTGTAGACTGACTTCCTGGTTAAGGTCATCAGGATGGCAAAAACCAAATCGTTCTCAATGACTGGCGGAGATGCATTCACTGTCTTTGTGACTACTTGCCAGTCATATCCAATAAAACTCTATTGTTCTTCCATATTACTATCCTTATCTCTCTTTACTCTCTTCTCTGCTGCTTTGTGTGATACATGAAGTGCGGTAACTGGAACTCCTGCACATCCGTGCACAGTTCTACTTTGAGACCAGTCTGTCTGTCTGTCTGTTCTACTCTCAGTTCAGTTCAGAGTGTTAGACAAAGAGGGAAACGAATCGGCGGCATGAGGAAAATCTCAATCGATTTAACTTTAGAATTTCATCTATAGATTTCACCACCACCACCCCCCTTAGCTAACCACTTTACATGTAACCTCACACTAATATTACTGACTATAGACGCAAATTCTCCATGCAGTCAAACACAATGAATTGACTAGATTAAAATGAACAAGTCGTTGAAACGGTTGAACTTGATAGCGACGACTTCGATCCCTGGTGGGGTGGTGGTGGTAATAAACAGTGATAAGCAAGAATGAAACAGCTGTCCAGCAGTGCCTCGGTGGGAACATCCTCACTCACTCACTCACTGGGGTAATAAAGATACATCCAGCTGGCAGACGAGTCCCAAATAAGACGAAATGCGCGTTCTGTCTGGATTCCACTGCTAGTTAGTCACCATCCACCAATTTCTTATCATTATTATTTAACAAGGTGTACACAACATCAGATTAGATTAAAAAATGTATAAAAAACCGCACACACGCACCAGTATACACGAATGTGTATACTGGTGCAAACCAAAGTACAAATCAACAACAAAATATAAAAAGAAACATCTCAATGCGAAAATAAAATGAGATACTTTGTTCAGATAAATTGAAAATTCAACATTCTATCACAATTCAACAGTGTTTAACAAACTTGTTATACAACTTATTTTTATTAAAACTAATTATTGCTGTTATTAAATACTTATCTGTGTAGTTGAAAATTCATGCTATAAGCACTTGAGAGGAGGTGGGTTATGCCTAGTGCATTTGTGTGTGTGGGGGGGGGTGTGGATGTGTGCTTCCGAGAGAGAGAGAGACGGCGGGGGAGGAGTGCAACCCCAAGAAGGCTTATCAAGAGAAATGCACTTCACAGATAGATAAGCAAACAGGCAGACAGACAGACAAACACATTGAATCATGCATAAATAGTACTACCAAAAGAAAGAAAAATAACACAATTAAGACTGATAGGAAGAAAAAAGACGACAGAGCTACAAAAAAAAGGACTCATGAAAACTTTTCTATTAGTTGGTGCGTATAGATTAGTTTTCTTTTTACAAGCTGATCACGGATTGATATCAGTTAGAGAACCGTACAGTGCGTCAGTGGCATAACAGTTAGGACGCTCGCCAACCATGCACATGGTCCGGGGTTAGATCTGGCATTAAGCAGTCTTTGCTTTCTCAGTTTGTAAATTCTGGTATTCTACCCATCCCCACCTTTACTGCTCCCCATTAATCTTTCCTGGACTACTTAGGAAAGACTTTGCTTTGCTGAGAAGGGCAGGCACTAAAAGCCGTTAGTAGGGCAAGTGGGATATCGTTAAACCAACCCACTGGTTAACACTATTGTGGATAGACATATTATGTCATGTAAGAAACTAGCGAATACAATATTGTCAGGCTCCGAGAATCCTCTCTATACGCAGCTCTCTCCTTGCATTTCATCTGGTGGAACTAGAAGCAGCTATAGCCGGGTATATGCTAGGACCACCAAATACAAAAACTCCACAATACCATATCTGGCACAGCTGTTATGTGGTGATGAGAAATCCGTTAGGTATGTGACACGATCAACTTACTGCGGCACTCTAACAAATAGTCCCATTAGTTTTTGTTTTCCTTTCCTCGTTACTATTACACTGTTGTTCTTATCTTCTATCACACCTCAACTTTATATTTCATATCCTGAGGTGCATTGTTTAAAATGTAAACTCTACGCTGTTTTATCTTTCATTCTTTTTTGGCGTTGGTTTTTTTATTTATTTATTTACTTATTTTTTTGGTTTTTTTTATTTTAAAATTCTTATAAAGTTTATGAGGTAATTAGATGCAATATATATTGTAATGCACGCTGAAAATTCCATACCTGTAACAGAAATACCGTTTGAAATAAAGCTATTATTATTATTATTATCTCCGACCACAGACGCACTGATTTACCTCGCTAAGCCAGAAATAATGCCGGTAAAGAGGAAAGGTTGGCTAGGCATGAGGCGGCTAGCAATCCGATCCTTTAAAAAAATAAACACTGCTACAGAAACGTCAAGCCTCTAGCTTGAAGCCGCTCTATGTTACACTGGGGAACGTGAAGGAAAGAAAAAGAAGAGAACCGTACTGCCGATGATTCCCATAAACTAGGCGGATGAAACAGTTGGCTGTCCAGTACTCTCCAGTGATGGTTTCCACTGATTCTCTAACCTGATATCAATCAATCAATCCGTGATAAACTCGTATAATTTAGAAAATCAAAACAAGTGGTGATTCAGCGAAGAGACTCTTTTCAACGGATTTATCATCAAGCTGTACAGTCGTATATATATATGGTTTATCAGAAGTTATATCCGGTGAGGGAATTGAATCTTATGTGTGAATGCACAAAATAATAATAATAATAATCATATGAAGTTCAATTAAAACTAAAATGTTTGTGATTATAATCGTAGTATAATGTCAAGTGGCAAAGTAAATTAATGTCATATATGGAATAATTCATAGGAGGGATAGAACTTGAAAAAGAGTGTGCAATTATGGGATTAATGGACAAGTCGAATAAAACAAAAACGTTACGTAATATTGTGTGAAATTTAATAGCATAGGATTTATCGTTGTAAAAAAGAATTGATTTAGAATGACAAGTGGAACAAGTGAAATAATACCGGGGACAGTTCAAAGTGAGAATAGTAATAATAACAATTGACTTAATAAGGAAGAGTATATAAATTGAATAGACAAAATGAAAAATTGGTACAGCTAAAATATGATTGGGGATTATCATATTTTAGCATAGAGGGATTAAGACCATGAAAGTTGGAGGGGTTGAACTAACTTTTTCTGTACACAGAGATCTGGCTTTTCTGTTTCGATAGCCAAAGCTTCAGCAATACAGATGAGTCGGGTACGTGGGGATTTAGGTAAATTGCTCTTTGCCTTGTAGATGACTTTAAAGGCGGAGGCTATAGAGATGTGGTGGTGATCATTATCGACCAGGTGTTCTATGATCGCGCTTCTTATTGCTCCACTTCCACCTTTTCGTAGCCATGCAGGATAATGCTCTTGCACCCTCTTGGACAAAACTCGAGTCGAACGACCGATATACTTAGCTCCACAAGAGCAGGTGAATTGATAAACGCACATAGAGTTGGTCAACATTGGGATCTTGTCCTTCAGGTTATTGAACAATAATGGTCGGCTAGTAAAAGCTATTCTCTATTCTCGTATAAATTGTGGTGGACTGGATTATGAGTCACATTGTGCGATGGGTGTGAGAAGATAGGAATACGTTGGAACACCGATTAGAGGGATCTACAAGATCTGGATTTACCGTGTGGACGATTTATGTTTAATGTCACACAAACGTGAATACCAACAGACGAAAACCAACAAATTGGTTGAAGAAACAGGCAGCCGGCGAAGACAGGACGGGACTCCAGGTGAACATAGAGAGAGAGAGAGAGACAGAGAAGACAGAAGTGATGACGATAACCAACCACCACTGAAAACAACGACAACCAGCAGCAATCACCATCAGTGGGAGACATTTAACATTGGCGGCTTCCTTCACTTATCTGGCTAAGACACACACAGTTTTAATCACAGGCAATTGGCACGGATGAAGTTGCGAAAACCAACCAGAATTGGAAAAGAGAGATACGCCTTCATCATCAATCCGAAACCAGTTTGGAAATCTTCTGCTTCACTCGGCCAGCATGGGGGGAAACAAGATTCGGATTTTTAACACAAATGTGAAGTCGTCAGTCACTCAGTTCTTCTATATGAGTCAGAAACTTGGCCAGTGTGTCACAAAAAGCATTTCCAACACGTTACAGACATTTATCAACACCTGCCGCCTTCGATGACTCTATATACTGAAGATCAAACAACGGCCAGCTGGCCAAAAAGGAATTGGCAACAAGAAACTCTGCCTGGCTGGGGAACAAACCAACCAAGAGGTTATTGTTCAACAAATATGTAGGCGAAAATAGAGATGGATGGATCGGGTATACGTTGAGGTGGGTGTCGAATGACATCACGTGCAATGAAGGCCATTGCTCGAGTGGAATCCATACAGGAAGCAACGAGCGGGTCGTCATATCAACGGTGACATGGAGGAGATGAGAGATTATAGGCGATCATCGTGGAGCTAGTCAGTTGAAGAGGAGGACAGCACCAAATAGACCAAACTGCAGATATGTTGTTGAAGCCCTATTTTCCACTCAGAACCCAAGGAAACAATAATAATAGTAGTAGAAATAGCTGAATAAACATGTGAAGCATGTCAGAAATGACTCCTTCCCCCCCCCATCCACTCATTTTACAAGCTAACAAGGCACTTATGAGTAGACAGCATTTTCTCGTTTTGAATAATTCGCCACGCCTCCTTCCCTACCCCCCTTAGCTCTAGATGATACCTGCTCATGATAAAAAAAAAGTGATGACACTGATTCCCGCCAGCCCCCCCGCCCCCCGAAGATTATATGATTTTTGAAATGTAAAACACATACACACGCACACACACAAAGATGTTTCCGCCAAAATGCAATTTATAGATAAAAACTCACTTCTTCAACTATACTCTTGATAAGTGCATTCGCTTCACGTAGATCAGCTGGATTACGACTTCGAAGGAGTTGAGTTAAACGCTTTAAGACATAGATACATATAGAGAGATAAAAAAAAAGAGATTTGAGATCAATTTTTAATAAAATAATTAATTAATTAATTGCTTTCAAAAGAATGGATACTGAACAAAAAGTATTCTTTTCGATAACCTCTTCTTCATCAGGCTCTACAGTTCTATTTAAACATTATAGTGAATGAATGAATGAATGAATTAGTGTTATAAACAACATGAATCAACAATATCAACAGATTACAGTTTAATAGCTTCAACATAAAATAAGCTGAATGTCAGACAGACAAATTAGGAAAGATAATATTACAAATTCATGAATTTATAGTCTCTACTCAAGACCAAGGTAGTAGTAGTAGTAGTAGTAAGGGCTGACTGGGTGGACTTGCTTCTTCCTCAAAACAGAGAACCGGTTGTCTCAGGCGAATTGCGACAGCCTCTGCTAGTTGGAGTAATGCGCTACCTGGTTGTTTTTGGCAGTTTATATATGATACCCAGTCGATGATAGAGAACGATTCTTCAATATTGGCTTTGTGGCCAGTTTGGACCAGGTGATCTAATATCAAACCTGTTAATAGTTTTCACTACACCTTTTACTTAGCCATACTGGCAGATGTTCTCGAGTTAGCATGAAAAATTAAGTTCCTAGAGCAACGGCCGATATAACTTCCCACCCGAAGGTGCAGTTGAATTGGTATATACAATTTGAAGTGGCTAGCTAGTCTAGGTACTTCACCTTTCAGTTGAGGTAGCACCACCGTCGGTCGTGTAGAGAATAATACGTGTAGTTTGCCAGCATTAAAAGTTCTTTGAACTGATTTTCTTAATTTCCTCGTAATTATCTCACTTGGTATATCGCTCTTGAATTGCAGTTGTATACAAAGTGGCTTTTCGTTGTCTACAGATAGTGAGTAGTCCCTTTTCAGCTTTCTTTGTCTTGTGTCTCTTGATAAATTTGTCGGGATAGCCATTTTCGATCAGTATCATATACAATGCTTAATTCATCTTCATTTACTTCTTCTGAGCATATAGCTCTAACTATGTGGTTGAGGGTCTTCACTAAATTTCTTTTGTACTCGAGAGGAATGAATCTGTGAAAATGTGCATATTGTCCTGTCCAAATGCTTTCAATTGATTTTTTCTAATTTCCATACCTTCAATGATTTGATAATAGAACCAACAGTATAAAACTATTGGTTCTTAGTGTCTCTAGGATCCTAGCTGCGTTAATCAGTCCTACCTCCCCCCCCCCAGGTTACACCAATCAACAGTCAAAGACTTCGTAAATTCATAATAGCTTTCAATGTGACCATCCATCACTAGCTCTTTTCCAATCTAATCAAATATATCGGCTAACATTGTTCGCCGGGGACGGCAACGGCTAGGTATACATAGAAAAACACATGCCTAAGCCACACCTCAACCAATATCGCTTTACAACCTCACCGACTGTTTTGTCCTCCCCGAAATAGACCTCAACGCCTAACCTCAATATTACTCATCATACTATGCAATTTCCAAATATTCATCAACCTTATTCAACAACTGTACGACAACGGCGGCACATGCCAAGTGATCCACAACGGAAAATACTCAGAGAGGCGTTTGGAATAAACACAGGAGTCAGACAAGGGCGCTTATTATCTATCACCAATGATATTCCCAATTGTGGTGGACTAACTGGATTATACGTCGTCAGACAGTGAGTGGGAAACGAAAAGACAGGGAGGGATATCCTGGACCGACGTGAAGAACCTAGAAGACCTGGGAATTTCGCGCGTGAATGATTTGTGTTTGATGTTACACAAAATCGAAGACTTACAAGCGAAAACCGACAAACTGGTCGAAGAAGCAGTCGGCGAAGACAGGACTACAAGTGGACATAGACAAGACGGAGGTTATGAAAATAACCAACGAACCAACAACAACAACAACAGCAACATGCAGCGCTAATCACCATCAACGGAAGGGTTACTTCATTCACTTATCTAGGGAGCATTGTCTCAACCACAGGAGGAACGAACGAGGATGTCAAATCGAGAATCCGGAAGGCGAGAAACACATTCATCAACCTAAAACCAATCTGGAAATCTTAGTCACTCAGCCAGCATCAACAACAAAATTCGGTCGGATTTTCAATACAAATGTCAAGTCAGTCAGCTCTTCTATACGGATCAGAAACTTGGCGAGCGGGTCACAAAGAATATTTCCAACAGCCTGTTTCAGGCCTTCATCAACAACTGTCTTCACTGGATCTATACTGAAGATCAGATGACCGGGCCGGAAAGAATCACCAACAAGAAACTTTAGGGACAAACAAAACAAGAACCAATCGCCGCCCTACAAATATGCAAGAGAAATTGGAGATGGATTGGACACTCATGGCTGAGGAGGCCGCTGGGTGACATCGAGCGTCAGGCCATTGCTCGAGTGGAACCAGGCCGAAAGGGAAGCGGCGAGTGGGACGACAGTGCAAGGGTGATATGGAGGAGATCGTGTGAAGAAGAGTTGAAAGGGTATGTACTAACATGGATACAGGTGAAAAGTACAGCAAAAGACAGAAGAAAGTGGAGACGTGCAAGTTGAAGCCCTATGTTCCACTAGGAACCCAAGGGAACAATAATAATAATAACAATACTATGCAACTTAAATCCCAAAACAGAAGAGGAACCTCTGTGGTCCAGAAGCATGCCAACCTAGGTAAAGTCTCCCACCTTCATAAACCTATCAGTTAAATGACAAAGTAACGCACCAACAAAACAGCGGCTGGTGAAGTAACGTGTATTTCCACTTTGATATGAACAAACACGGGAATTATCGACACCACACATTAAAATAGTCATTAGCACACAAATAGGAAACATCTGTGGAAATGCCGGTATGCATAAATAATTTCCTCAAATGTACATATAAAATTGCAAATAAAGATTCGGTCACCAACTACTCATATGTTCTGCCGTTACATTTGGTGTCGCTGTCTCAGAAGAAACAGGGATCTCACGGCCCACAGCTTTCGAAGAAGAAGATATACGGAGCCTCTTATGGGACTTCAATGCCGTTTGCTGGGTTGGTGGATGTTAAGCATCTGACGGCGGAGGCGGTTGTGTTAGGGACACTGTTGAGAGGTCGGGGAATTACCTCCTACGACAGTGTGTGGAGTGGTCAGGTAACAAAGAGACTCGGAAGGTATTGGTTGAACCACTGGTGGCGGAGTTCGACAGCCCGATGGACAGGCAGTTGGCGAGGCAGCAGTTCCGTGGCGCGAAGCTGGGGCCAGATGAAGATGACTGGATATCATGAAGATGAGAACGACACCATATCATCCACAACTGAATGAATGGTGTTTGACAGAGAGAAATAACCCTACACTGGAGGAGTGGCTGGCCCTCTCGAATGGAGGTAACTGGGAGACAGAGCTCCTATTGATTCTATTAGCACGTTGTGTTTCCACCCAGGAAACAACAAAGAAGTCACCTTTTCAGTTGGTGTATGGCAAAAGACCACGACTACCAGTACACAGCGCAACCTTACCCCTTGACCAAGAACGCAACAAGAAACAGGAGCCATCAGGAATGTAAAGTACAAATTATGGACGCTACGAAATCTGAGCAGAGGTAAAAGATGGAATGCATAACCTTCGACGTCAGCGATCAATTCAAGTGTAGAGAAAGGTAGTACACAGTTACATGTGGGCGAAGTTCACGGAAACTCCTTCCGAAGCGGGAAGGAGAGACTCGGTCCCGAAACGGGTTAATGTCAGCCAACTGCATTAATAGGTACAGTGTGACACGGAATCTGAAAACAAGGTACAACAAGAATGGGTAGAACGATGCGAGAAGGTCGGATCAGCTCCGCTGGAAAGTATTAAACAGGAGGAGGACGACTGTGGCATATGCTCGTGACAAGATGTATCGGTGGTATGCAAAGAGGCTTTCATCAACACAAAAATATCAAATTGTGAAGAGGTAGATTTGATGTGAAAGAGAAAAAATAAACGAATATCGCGGAGAAATATGGGAGAGACGAAAAGAACGGAAGGAAAAACACAATACGAAGTGCAAGAGTGTTACATCAGGGAAGATCTGTGCAAATGACGATTTTAATATATCGTATGCATTATTTCCCTAGATGTGCATACCAAATTGCAAAATAAAACGTCGTGTTGCCTTATACTCTTGTGTTATAGTTTGATTGGAAACCAGTAACTAGTGCGATGTGTCTAGTCCTTGGTGTTTGGTGTAGACTGAATTTCACCAGTCAGGTTTACAATGTGGCCACCATTCTAGGTAGCTCACCATCACAGTGCACATTGATTTGATGATATTAGATAGTCGGAGGCAATCGGTCAATCGGAGGAAGCCTTGCTTGACCTAGGTTTTGTGCTAGTTGGCACTCACTAGTCAGTCAGCAAGGCGTATCTGCAACTACCTTGAAGGAACAACTCATGTCCCCTCTGAGATCCGAACCCGCGTCACCCAGTGCTTCTTTCAATGACAGACGTCACCACTGAGCTATTCGGGTCGCGATTGACCTCCTGTAGTAGTGTAGTGGATACTTTGGTCGGACACTACTAACTATTGTGACGTGTCTAGTCCTTTCTTTGGTGCAGACTGAATTCTCTCATCTCAATTAATACACCCACTGCATTCCTACAGGAGGTGAATCGCGATCCAGAATAGCTCAGTGGTAACGTCTGTCTCTGACTGCAGGCAGCACTGGGTGACGTGGGTTCGAATCTCAGAAGGAGGGACATGAGTTGTTCCTTCAAGGTAGTTGCAGATACGCCTTACTGACTGACTAGTGAGTGCCAACTAGCACGAAACCTGGGTCAAGCAAGGCTTCCTCCGATTGGCTGATTGCTTCCAACTATCTAACACTCTTGTTTTCTGTCGTTACAGTATAATAATACTACTGAGCCCGATGTAAGCAATTCGATAAGCCTAAAACACCAACATCAACCGATGGTATTTTGCAGTTGCAAACTACACACACAATAAAAATACTTAGTGAATTCGCTAGACGTCGAAAAGATCCATGACACAATGTCATCGACGACACTATCATCAATCTTAAAACATTATTGTTTTTTTGTTTACCCATGAAGAGCTTGCCCAATGATTGATTATACGGATGAGCATAGCATCTGTCTAGTTGTTAGTGCATGTGTGTGTGTGCGCGTGTGCTGATTGAAATCAATCAATAATATCAATAAACAAAAGAAGAACACAAATTGGAATGACGCGCGTTTTCTGTAACACCACCTTTACGCAAATAACTGTAACACCGAAAAATAGGCGATTCAGGGATCTATAGTGTCATGTCTGATTACCTTTTCTATTCTAAGAGGAGGCAAAATCGATCGAGGTGGTTGTGAAGCAGCTACATCGATTGAATGAGATGGTTAGGACATGTGTATCACGCATGGCCTAGTCTAGCCATCACCTTCCTCGACAATCGACAATGTTAGCCAAACCAAAAGATGGCTTCATCAGTCAACGAAATCCACAACTGTTAGTTTAATCCAGACAGCCATGTAGGGAGATATAGACTTCCTGGCTGGTTGGGGTCCTGGGGGTGGTAAGAACCTATGAAGGCTGGAGACAATTAGTGACATGATTGGTTCAAAATCGTTCTTAATGACTGGCGTAGATGCATTCACTCTCTTTGTGACTACTTGCCAGTCATATCCAATAAAACTCTATTGTTCTTCCATATTACTATCCTTATCTCTCTTTACTCTCTTCTCTGCTGCTTTGTGTGATACATGAAGTGCGGTAACTGGAACTCCTGCACATCCGTGCACAGTCTGTCTGTCTGTTTTCGACATAGAACTTTGCACAAATGTGCGGAAGTTCAAGTCGCCACATTCCGTGTAGCACGCGAAGCAAGAGAAGAAAGTACAAGAAAAGCATAATAGAAACAGTGAGCAGAGGTGTGAGACAAAGGAATAGTAGTAACGAAGAACAAAACAGTTTCATTGAAGATCATAAGTCACAGGGAGTGGATGCATCTGCGCCACTGAGAACGATTTTGAGCCATGTCACCAATTGTTTCCAACCATAGATTTTTACCGTCCCGAGGACCCCAGCCTGGAAGTCTACACCTTTCTACGTGGCTTAGACCAACTGTTGTGGATTTCATTGACTGATGCCAAGTTTTTGTTTGACCGCCGCTAGCTTTTTTCCAGCCTGACCCTATATTCGCTAACATAGCTCGTCGAGGGAGGCGATGACTTGGCATACGTAACACATGTCCTAACCATCTCAGTCGATGTAGCTTCACGACTTCGTCGATTGATTTCCCCTGTTTACCTAGAACTCGACCGATGCCTAACCTCAATGTTGCTCACCTTATTATGCCACTTCACACGGGAAATAGAGCGCAGGCACCTATGATCAAACACAGCTAGCCAGTCTTTTCATGTCTTCCACTCTCAGTGGCCAGGTCTCACAACCATAAAGGAGGACGGAGCGGACTGATGAGCAGTACACCCGCCCTTTGGTCAATAGTCGAACATCTCGTCTACGCCAGAGTCGGCGTAAACTAACAAATGCGAAACGAGCATCCTGTATTCGTGCTGAGATTTCGTCAGAGATCAACCCGTTGGCACTGGCTGATGGTACTTCCCAAATAAGTGAAGCGGTCAACGTGCTCTACCACTTCACTTCCTATTTTTAAACTAGGCGTCGATGTAGTCCAGTCCTGTAACATCATCTTGCATTTGGCGGGAGCGAATCGCATGCCAATCATTCGTAGATTGCGGCTCAAGGTGTTTAGAAGACTCTGCATTTCGTCAGCGTCTTCGCCTAGAAGGACTATATCGTCTGCATATTCCAAGTCAACGAGATTATTCCCCGGTAGCAAGTCAATTCCTGAGTCGCTGAAGTCACCTAGGGTTAAGTCCATTAACACATCTATGATGAAGTTGAATAGAAAAGGAGATAATGGGCATCCTTGACGGACACCACTGGTCGTCATCAGTTCAGATGACAGCACAGTTCTACTTTGAGACCAGTCTGTCTGTCTGTCTGTCTGTTCTACTCTCAGTTCAGTTCAGAGTGTTAGACAAAGAAGGAAACGAATCGGCATGAGGAAAATCTCAATCGATTTAACTTAAGAATTTCATCTATAGATTTCACCACCACCACCACCCCTTAGCTAACCACTTTACATGTAACCTCACACTAATACTACTGACTATAGACGCAAATTCTCATGCAATCAAACAGAACGAATTAATATGAACAAGCCGTTGAAACGGTCGGTCGAAACGGTTGAATGCTCAGTGAGTTTGGTCGTGAGTTCGATCCCTGGTGGGGCGGTGGTAATGAAGAGTCATAAACAAGAATGAAACCATTGTTCAGCATTGTCTCCCTAGTAGTTTGATTGGATACTAGTAACTAGTGTGATGTGTCTAGTCCTTTCTTTCTTTTGGTGCAGACTGAATTCTATCGGTCAGTCAGGTTTGCAATGTGGCCACCATGCCACTGGGTGGCTCGCTATTACGGTACATTGTGAATTGTTGATATTAGATGGTTGGAGGCAGGAGATCAATCGCGAGTCCGAATAGCTCAGTGGTAACGTCTGTCTCTGACTGTAGGCAGCACTGGGTGACGCGAGTGCGAATCTCAGAAGGAAGGACATGAGTTGTTCCTTCAAAGTAGTTGCAGATACGCCTTACTGACTGACTAACTGGTGAGTGCCAACTAGCACGAAACCTAGGTCAAGCAAGGCTTCCTCCGATTGGCCGATTGCCTCCAACTATCTAATATCATCAATGCTCTCTAGTTTCCAAAAATCTCTCTCAAGTGTTGATGTTAGTTCGTGGTGAAATCTACACTGAAAACGATGAATGTCTTTCTACCTCCTACTTTCAAAGGCTGCATCTCACACGCCAATAAATTAGGGAGGCATAATGTACAGCACAATGTACACACGTCTGTTTATGGCCTAAGCCAAATATGATGCAAGTTGACAAAAGGTCACAACAACAAGGCTGTAGTATCCATGTAACTTTATCGACGAGGCTATAAAGTTACATAGATTGAGATGACTAGGTCAGGTGGTGCGCATGCCTAACCATCGCCTCCCCCACTTGACGGGTATTACTAGCTGATATAGGTGGTACAGGTTGGAAAAGTGTAAGTGGTGGCCAAAGCAACAAACACATGGCCTCACCAATCCATGAAATAAATCCTTGACAGTTAAACTGAGTCGGTCAGGTAGGGAGATGCAGACTTCCAGGTTGGGGCCCTCGGGACTCTAGGAATCAGTGGCTGCAGACAATAGGTGACATGGCTCAAAATCGTTGTCAATGGCCAGCTCAGAAGTATTCAGTCTCTGTAATCTTTCATATTCCTCCTTTTTACCATTACCCATTCTGTTTCCCTCTTATACCTGTCAAACTCTATTAATTCTCTTCACTCATCTTCTTGTCTACTTTTGTGTGCTATTTGGAACGTGGCTACTGGAACTGGTGCACTTCGGTGCCAAGTTCTATGTTGAATCCAGACAGACAGTATCCATGCTATCCATATTTTTTTTTATTAGCAACCAGTTCATTGCGACTGATACCACTTGTCAAGGAAAAGGGAACTGGTGAGACACACACTCAACCATTTTACTCCTTCATCTTTGAACTAGGTAATCGATTGTACTACTATTACTACTCAACTCAAATCTAAATTATCCACATTCCACCCCATCCATACGATGAGGTGATGATTTTACTCGGAGAAATATATATATATATCAATAAAAATCGATAATATCTTTCTTACCTCAGATTTTTTATTACGTTCAAATATATTCTGCCTTTCTTCAGCAGTTGACGATGCAGTATGACCAACCTACAAACAGACAGGCAGACAGACAGATAGAAATAAAATTAAACGATAATGAGAAAAGGAGGAATGAGAATAGAATACCATGAAGGTGTAAGAAATATACTTGATATTCATCAAGTGTTGGTTTACAGGGATTTGATTGGTTTGCCAACAGGATTTCATTATGAGCTGACATCGGTGAGAGGACTATTGGAAAATCAGCTGGGGGTAATGGATAGTCAGCTGTTTCGCCTCAGGGCTTGGGACTCTGATGCTCGCTAGTTGTTGGCCGTATTCAGGTAGCTATTTACCTGGGTTCTAGTGGGAAGTCGTGACTAGTGAGTGGGGGGGTGATATGTATCCACATATATATATTTATGTGTGTGTGTGCATGTTGGTCTCTCTTTCTGTTTGCTCGGTTAGTCTGTGACCACTTCACTTGTATGGACTTGTCTCCTTTAATAATGTGTATTCTCCTTATATTATATTATATATAATATGAGTGTTTGTTGACAGTCCGTTGCTTGGTGACATATATCCATATATGTTTGTTGGCATGTCTGCTATATTCGCTATGTATAATTGGATCGACACTCCATTATAATTAGCCATTCATGTTAAGACTGTCTAATGATTTTTCCCACGCTTGTCTGAATTATTTTATATATATTCGCATTCACAATTTGTGTGAACTACTTTACTTTACAACTACTTTACTTACTTACCACTTTGGTGTGAGACCATTTATTTTCGTCTCCTTGTGTTTGGACAATAGAAGTATCATCGAAAACCTAGTGGTCTTCTGATTTCCGCCTTCTCGCGTCAGGACTATTAATTTCTCGACCAGTCCATAATAATAATTTAGCGACGAGTACATAACAGGGGGGACAGCAGGTCATCGGGTGTGAGGACAAAACACTTGCCACCGATGACATTCGCTAGTGGTCACATCATATCATGAATTGGCAGAAGTTGGAATTCATGAGTTGACTGGCCATTGGATCGGTTCCCAGTACCTTAATGGTCTACCAAAAGGTCCTGTGTGTTCGAAACTCACTAGGTGCGTACTGATGAAGAGTCCCAAACTAGGACGAAACGGTTGCTTTTCTGATGGTCCTCTAGCCGCTGTCAGTTCATGATAAAATCCGGAAAATTACTTGGGAAGAGAATAAGTCTGTTCTTAGACCGGTCTAGATTTTGAAATACATTTTCACATGATTGATTTTTTACTACTGTGAAATGCTCAACTTTTGTTAAAATGTCAACTCCTACTGCCTAGGTACGGACGCTTAGACGATGTCTGAAGATTAACATGATGATGATGATGATGATGATACCTAGTACTGGAATCTAGGGAGTGCATTTCGTCCTATCTGGGACTCATCATCCGCAAGTGCCTGAACTCTCAGTGAGTGATGATATCCTCAATGTGACTATTCGAACCCTGTACCCATCATTTCAAATGGTAAATGGGATGAAATGCTGATTATCCTGGATTCCACCGCTAGTCACCATCAAAACCAGAATAAAATCAATATTAATCTTTGAAAATTATTGAAGAGCCCCCACCCCGTCTTGGCAGCTGGTATGTCAACAGACACTGAGCATTTCGATCCGAAAAAAAAAATCAATCAGCCAACAAGATATGCAAATGAACTCTAAACAAAAACCACAAATAACAAGTCATGCTTGTCGTACAAGAGGCGGCTGTTTTTGCCCAGTCACGTAGTGGACAACTCTTTGACGTTTGAAACCATTGGCACAGGGTTCGAGACTTAGTGGGAACAACAATATCAATCACTGAATCTCGAATAGGAAGAAATGCGTGTCTTGAATTCTACAGCTGGTTTCGTTAAATGCAAAGAGGTAATGATCATTCTTTGACCCGTCCACTGTCGAATCACATCCTAGAAATTCATTTAAACACTACTTATCAGCTGCTTGTTAGAATTCAGTAAACCAGGACAGACCATCCCTCATGTATCAGGCAGGCTATGTACTATTATTATTATTATTCCCTTGCGTTTCGAGCGGAACATAGAGCTTCAACGACAACACATCTCCACTTTGTGTTCTGTTTGGTGCTGTCCTCTTCAGCTAACTAGATCCACGATTGTCCATAATATCTCATCTCCCCCTCCTCCTCCTCGCCATACGATCTCCTCCATATCACCCTCACATTGACAACCCACTCATCGCTTCCCGTTCGGATCCCACTTGAGCGATGGCCTGCATTGGGCGCGATATCACTCGACGGACATCTCAGTGGTATACCCGATCAATCCGTCCATTTTCTCCTACATATTTGTTGAGCAATACTTCCTTGGTTGGTTTCTTGTCAGCCAGAATTTCTTGTTGATAATTCTTTCTGACCGGCTTGGCCATCTGATCTTTAATATGGATCCAACGAAGGTGACAGGCTATTGACAGAAGTCTGCAGCAGCCTGTTGGAAATCCTTTTCGTGACACGCTGGTCAAGTTTCACATCCATATAGAAGCACTAATTGACTTGGCATTTGTGTTGAATGGAATCCGAATCTAGTTCTTTATGCTGGCTGACTGAGTGACAGCAGAAGATTTACAAACAGGTTTCAGGTTGATGAAGGTGTATCTCACCTTTCCGAATCTGGCTGGCTGGCTGGCCGGCTGGCTTTGACATCCCCATCCTTTCCGACTGTTTGTGGCTGAAATCGTGCTTCCTAGCCAGATGGTATTTTGTGCTGGTTGTCGATGTTTTTTCGTGGTGGTGGTCGATTATCTTCATCGCCTCTTTCTTCTCTCTCTCTCTCTATGTTCACCTGGAGTCCTGTCCTGTCTTCGCTGCCTGCCTGCCTGCTTCTTCAACCAGTTCGTGGGGTTTTCGTCTGTTAGTTTTTTTGGGTTTGTGTGACATTAGACATATATCATCCGCCTCGATATCCAGACCTTTTCGAGTCTTCTCATTTATCCAACGTATTCCTATCCTCTCACTCCCAACGCAGAGTCTGACGCATAATCCAGTCCACCACAATTAAGAATATCATCGCGTGTAATAATATGCAGCCTTCTCTTAGTATCAGGCTATGAGCCACAAATTTATCGAATGCGAAAGCTATCAATACATTCTATCCAATCGCCATGGGCTGAAACAGGAAGCGAGGAATTCGAACTCGGCACCTGACCACTGAAAGACACGGGTCTATGGCAACGAGCAACAAACACGCCCACACACACACACACACAGCTGCAATTCGCCAACCGGATGTACTCCGATTCAAATGAGTGACAGTGTCCCCGTCGGGACTTAGACCTCAGGACGCATAGACACACAAACATCTTCGTTTTAGAAGCTTAACATAGTTACAATATGAAACTACTGACTCAGACAGATAATATTTTCGCTTTTAGAAAAGTGCATAATCAGTAATAAGATAAAGGATGTTAACTATAAGATGTATAAACCACACACACACACAGACGTGTTCGTAATCTGGTGCACATCAAGATATCAAATTGCACCCCATCGAAAGCTATATTTTATTAGAATTAGAAATTTGTGTTGATTCGCCCCCCCCCTCCTCGTCGTCGTTGACGATCTCTCTGTCCCACCCCTACACCTCTGCGCTCACACAAAGAGTGAATATCGATTATTTACACACTTAGTAAGGAGAGAGAGAGAGGAAAAAACTCGACTTGTGACCCATTAAACTTAGACGTAATTTGAGCTGCTTTATTTCGCTTTGTTGCCTCCCTTCGGATGAATGAAGCTATCTTTGTTTTTGTAGACACCTTCAAAAACTCTTAGTGAATTACACATATAACCATCTGTCTATCTATCTATCTCTACCTGTCTGTCTATCTCTTGGTAATCTTGACTGTAACTGGTTGAGTTTACAGGCTTTCTCACAAAATGTGCTCATTTGCACTCTTATTGATCAATCTGATCTGATTAACGGATGATATCTGTCAATCAATGAAAAGCATAGGTCACACATGTCAAAAAGGTCAAATAGTGGGTTACCACCACCACCAGCATACAAGTGAACACTGAAAGCAATCAATCATAGTCAAGGACAATGGCAATATACTACTCATTGACTGACTGATACTACTCACATCAACAAGTAGTTGAAGTTCAGTTGATTTGATGAACACTAATTCGGCTGTCTAAGTTGACACATAGAGCCGGGTAAACTGCACTAAATGACATATGCCCCCCACTCCACCCCCAGTGGAAGACATGAAAAGATTAGTTGTCTTCGATCATAGGTGCCTGCGTTCTATCTTCCGTGATAAGTGGCATAATAAGGTGAGCGATATTGAGGTTAGGCGTCGAGTTCTAGGTAAGGAGCTGTGAAATTACATCAACTTAGATGGTTAGGGCATGCGTTACGTATGCCTAGTCATAGCCTTCCTCGACGGACAATGTTAGCTGATATAGAGACAGACTGGAAAAGAGCTAGCGGTGGTCAAACCAAGACATAGCACCAGTCAATGAAATCTACAACAGTTAGTCTAAGCCACGTAAGAAGGTGTAGACTTACTAATTGGGGTCCTCGGGACAGTAAACATCAATATCTGGAAACAATTGGTGGTATGGCTCAAAATCTTTATCAATAGCTGGAGCAGATGCATCCACTCCTCGTGATTTCCAATGAAACTGTTTTGTTCTTCGTTATTACTATTCCTTTGTCTCACACCTCTGTTTACTGCCTCAAAAATATGCATTTCTTCTACTTTTTCCTCTTGCTTTGTGTGCTACATGGAGTGTGGCGACTTGAACTGACACACATATGTGCAAAGTTCTATGTCGAAAACGGACAGACAGACATGACCCCCCCCCCAGACGAACGAAACAATCCTTCCATGTTTAAATCACTTCAATCTGGTTGGCTAGCAAGTACTATTGGTTGATAAAAGTGGTATCTAATCGATTAGTACTGTATAGCACCATGAATAACTGACTGGTGTCAACACGTAACAGTAAACAGAGATTTCAGGCAAAAAGAATAGTAATATTGAAGAACAATATAGTTTTATTGGATATTATCAGTCACAAGGAGTGGATGCATCTATGCTAGCCATTGAGAACGATTTTGAGCCAGCCATATCACCAATTGTCTCAAGCCTCTATTTCTTCTTACCAACCTGAGGACCCCAACCAGTCAAACAGTCTACACCTCCCTACGTGACTGACTAGCTGGCTCTAACTGTTATGGATTTCATTGAGTGATGAAATCACGTTTCGGTTTCACCACCACTACTAGCCTTCTCTTTTCCAACCTGATCCATTCCATGTCAGTCAGCTAACACTGCCTATCGAGGAAGACGATCGATGGCTAGAGATGCGGGCATAACACATACCCTAACCATCTCAATCGGTGTAACTTCACAGTGGCGTCTATTGGTTTCCCCTCCCACTTATCCAGCACTTGACCGATGCCTAACCTCAATATTATGCCACTTTACACACGGAAGATAGAACGCAGTCACCTGTGATTAAAGGTAGACTGCTGAGCAGTACACACGTCCTTTGATCGATAGCCAGCCAGAGATGGCGTAAACTGGCATATGCCAAACGTGCCTTCTGCGTCCATGCTGAGATTTCGTCAGCGATCAACCCGCTGGGAATGACTGACGCAACTCCTTAAATAAGTCAGTTGGTCAACACGCTCTACCAACCACTTCACTCTTTCCCTACCTTTAAGCTAGGAATGAGTCAATGCAGTTCAATCCTGTAGATTCATCATCTTACATTTAGCGGGAGCGAATCGCATGCCAAACATTCGTAGATTGCTGCTCAGCTCAAGGTGTTCAAAAGACTCTGCTCTATTTTATCAGCATCCTCACCTAGAAGGATTGTATCATCCGCATGCATATTCTAAGTCAACAAGATTATTCCCTCCCTGGTAACAAGTCAATCCCTGAGTTGCTGAATTCAGCAGTTGGGGTGAATTCCATTAGTACATCATGAATAAAATTACTTTAATAGGTCGACTTCAGCTTTTCATATTAAACTAATGACTGAGCGATTCCATATTTATTTTTGATTACAGCTTGATTCCACAGCGTGTATTTGGTACAAGTATGGAATTTTCAGCGTGGATATCGGTAGCCCAAATTTCGCAGGCCAACCATAGATATCAGGTGTGCGTCGGCAGAGAATCGAACCTCGGACCATGTGCATGGTCGGCGAGAGTTCTAACCACAGTGCCACTGACGAACAACATTCGCACAACATTAGTTTGTTTATTAGATGTATCACACAGTGAGGGAAACAGTATTATTTACTGTTCCAAGGGAAAATATACAAACAAACTGAGGAAGTTGCCATGGGATCACCAATATCCCCGATTGTAGCAGATATATTCACGGATAGGTGGGAAAGCATAGCGATTGAAACGTTCAACCCCACGCCAAAAGCATGGTGAAGGCATGTAGATGACGCATTCACTATACTCAGAACACAAGATATAGATAGATTTTTCGAACACATCAACTTGAAGGTAGAGGCAATTCAATTCACTAATGAATTGGAAAGTCAGGAATTGGGGGAACTTCCAATGTTAGATTGTAGCGTAAAAACGGAAAAAGATGGGAAGTTAAACACACTAGTGTGTGTTTACATGAAACTCACACATTCAAACAGATATTTGGACTTCCGATCATCCCATCCTGTGTCAGTAAAAATAGGATTGATGAAATGTTTATGTGTCAGAGCACAAGCACTAAGTAGTACCAAGGCAAATCTAAGACAAAAAATGATACACATAAAAGAAGCCTAGAAACTTAATAATTATCCGGACAAATTAGTCAGGAAATATGTAAGAAAATGTAAAAATAAATAATGATAGTAGCGATAGTGATGATGATGATAATAATAATAATGCCGAGACCAACAATAAGGAATCTAAATCATCAGTAGTAATTCCATACAAGGAAGAAACCTCGGAAGCCTTAGGCAGAATTCTTAACAATATTGGCAGGAATAAAAGTGGCTGGCATTCAAACTGCCCACAAACTCAATTAGAAACAAGCTTTGTCGGTTAAAGGATCCTGCTATGGAGCCTTTAAAACAAAACAATTTAGTTTATCTAATACCCTACCTGCAACGATTGTGAGGTCAAATACATAGGTCAAACTAGTAGAACAGGGGCAGTCAGACTAGCCGAGCATAAAAACTTAACAAAATCTAGATTAGTTGACCCAAATAAGATAAGAAATGTAGAGAATAGTTTGGCCATAGCATTACATGCAGTTACACACAACCAAACAACAGGATGGACGGGATAAGGTGACAGTTTTAAAATCGAATGTCACAGGGTGGAGCGAGGGAGAGATTGATAACAGAAGCTTTGTTTATTGAATCAACTGCAAATACATGTAATAGAAATGATTCAACACCTGTCCCAGATATACGGAAAATTCTACTGCCCATACGACAAATAGGAGAAAACAAAGAAAACTATAAAACTCAAATCTCAAAGTCGTGTGACCACAATTGATATGATTATGAACAATAAATTGTGTTCGAAACTGTGTCATCCAGGAAATAATACTGTTTCACTGTGTGATACATCTAATAAACAAACAAATATGGGATTACTTACTACTACAGTACCCAAGTTTTACACATATATTAATGAGTGATTGAGTGATTGAATGAGTAAGTGAGTGAGTGAGTGAGTGAGTGAGTAAGTGAGTGAGTGAGTGAGTGAGTGAGTGAGTGAGTGAGTGAGTGAGTGAGTGAGTGAGTGAGTGAGTGAGTGAGTGAGTGAGTGAGTGAGTGAGTGAGTGAGTGAGTGAGTGAGTGAGTGAGTCAAAGAATAGAAAAGACAAAAGAAAAACAAAAATGGTATTACCTTTGAATTAGGTCCATTTGTGGTGATTTGTTCTGCAGTGATAATACCTTCTCTAACAAGCATATTATAAGCCTCAGCAAATTTCGGTTCACTGGTTGAATAATCACGTTGCCAGTTATGCAATAGCTGAGCACATTTATTTTTTACAGATGTAGCCGTTTGATCACCCAGATACTAAAATAAACATGGACATGAACAAGAGATAATACACATATTATGAATACAGACAGTTACATCAATAGATGTACACAGATTACAAGACTAAAAAGGTGTAAATATCAGATCAACGAAAGGATTTGACCAAAGTGAGTTTCAACAACAACAACAAAAATCGTCGCATAGAAGTGCAACAACTCCAGTTGCCATACTCCCCATGCTCCACACAAAGGGAGATTCAAAAGAACCATAAACATTAGATTAGATGTGTCCGGGGGGACGATTTTTTTTAGCCATATTACCAGTAGTCTCCAGCCACTGGTTTCTAGCCTATCAAGCACCTCAACCAGGCAGTCTACACCACCCCACCTACATGGCTGGCTTAAACTAACTGTCAAACACTTCATGGACTAATGTCAGGTTTTAGTTTGACCAACCATAACTCCTTCCCAACTTAATCATGTTAGCGAACACTGCTCGTCGAGGAAGGTGATGGCTCGACACACGTGACGCATGTTTGAACCGCCTCAATTGATTCACCTTCACATACTTCATTGATTGACTTCACCTACTCTCACCTATTTAACCACTTAGCGCCTAACCTCAATATTACTCAGCATATATTAATACCCTCTTAACAAGTGTGATAGAATGCAAACATCTTTGGCTATGAAACCTGGCCACTGAGAGTGGAAGACATGAAAAGGTTGGCTGGTTGTCTTTGATCATAGGTGACTGCGTTCTATCTCTCGTATGAAATGGTATAACAGGGGAGCAATATTGAGGTTAGGCATCGGTCAAGTGCTAGGTAAGGAGGGGAAATCAATCGGCGACGACGCTGTGAAGTTATATCGACTAAGATGGTTAGGACATGTGTTAAGCATTCATCATTAGCCATCGCCTTCCTCGACAATGGGCAATGTTAGCTGACATAGGATCAGGTTGGAAAAGATCCAGTGGTGGTCAAACTAAAACATGACTTCAGTAGTCAGTGAAATCCACAACAGTTAAAGGCAGTCACGTAGTCACTGGTTGCCGTCCTTGGGACGGTAAAAACCAATGAAGGCTGAAGATAATTGGTGATATGGCTAGGTCAAAATCGTTTTCAATGGCTGGTATAGATGCATCCACTCCTTTTGACTTATGATTTCCAATTAAACTATATTGTTCTTCATTATTACTATTCCTTTGTCTCACATCTCTGTTTTGTTTTTTTTATTCCCTCGCGTTCCCAGTGGAACATAAGGGCTTCAAGCTACGGGCTCGAAGTTTCGGCAGGAGTGGTGTTTACTTTTACGGGACGGGGTTGCTAGCCTTATGCCTAACCTTCCCTCTTTGCCAATTCTATTACTGGCTTAGCGAGGTAAAGGAGTACGTCTGTGGCCGGGAATCGAACCCCGAACCATGTGCATGGTAGGCGAGCGTCCTAACCGCTGTGCCACCGACGCCATATCTCTACTTACTGTCACTATTTTGCATTTCTTCTACTTTCTTCTCTTGCTTTGCGTGCTACTTGGAGTGTGGGGACTCGAACTCCTGCACAGATGTGCAGAGTTCTATGTTGAAACCAGTCGGTCAGTCAGTCAGCAAACATATATGGTTAAAGACAGCTAGGCTTTTCATATCTTCCACTTCCAACAGATGTCACAGCTACTAAGAGAGAGAGAGAGATTGGCGCACAGTACACACGTCCCTTTGATAAATAGCCAGATTAATACAAGCAATACAGGCGAATACAAGCATGAGAAAATCTATGACAACGACCAATCTCAGTGAAGATGGTCTCACTAGGGGAGGAAAAATAATTCCATTCACGCAAAAATTAATTTCCAAAGCTTACTCACTTCATATTGTAAAGTAAGCGATGAAGATTTTATTCACAAGGACAACTAAACAGTATCCAGCTCAGACAACGCAACAGTAACAGTCACAACACCGAAACGATTTGTGTATTAGGCAGTGAAGTGTATGTGTTGCTTGAAGTCTACTATGATACTAATTTGACTGTCTAGATACGAACAGGTAAAGAGGAGTTCCAACTTGCGGTAGCCTAAAACACAAGTATATGTTTCATCACAAAGTGACACAACAGTCAGGGAACTATTGAAAAACTAGTTCGAATACTGGACGGCTGTTTCGCCCTTCTTGGGACTCTTCAGTAGTACGCGCCGATAACTTCACCAAGGATTATACCTAGGACCTTCAGGATTCCATCCCACTGGCTAACTGATCAACAGGGTCACCTTAGAACCTGAAGTTTTTGAGTTAGACCCTTAGTGGTGAGATCACGGGTGCTAACTGATGAAGCATCCCGAATAAGGACGAAACAGTTGTTCAGTACTCCACCTAGGTTTTCAATAGTTCACTCACTGAACCTATTTTATCATTAAACATCAAGTCAATCAAAGCCTTACAAACCAACATTTGAAAACAAGCTAATGTATTTTATCAAAAAGAGAGCAACATGATATCTAACAAAAGTGTAACTGATGAAGCGTTCTTAATTATCACGTATACCTTCACAAGGCGTGTATGTGTATAATGACGATAGATGTGACATATTTACTCAATGAATAACTCATTCTCAAATCAATGTACTATGATTAGTGAGACAGTTTAAAAGCATTCGCTATCAATATAGGACGGCCTAGTAAATACTGTCAGACAAACTTTCAACATTAGCATCAAATCAGTCAGTTCTTCTTTACAGGTTAAGCGATTTGGTGTACACACCAACAACCTGCTGTGCAGATTTTCACTAACAGCTGCCCCTTTTATCCAATACTGAATATCAGACAACCAGAGAGGATAAGTTAGTATGGAACTTTGTCAAAGAATCAACCGAGAGTCAATCGTTCAACAGATATGCAGAAGGGAATAGAAGTAGATCAGGCGCACACACACACACACTGGGGGGACGGTTAAATGACGTCCAGCGTCATATCCATGAGCAGAGACCGAATGGAGAATAAGCGATGAGTTGGGTATCGTTTCTGGGGCGATATGCGGAAGAAGGAAATGACAGCTTGTGTGAGAACTTGGTACCAGAGGAAAGAGTGTGAAATGGAGGCCTATGATGTTCCACTCGGGAGTCGGTGGTATAGCAGTTAGGACGCTCGCCGACCATGCACATGGTCCGAGATTCGATCCCCAGCCAACGCACTCCTTTACCTCGCTAAGCCAGAAATAATGCTGATAAAGAGGAAAGGTTGGGCATGAGGCTAACATCCCCATCCTGTAAAATAAACACTGCTACAGAAACTTCAAGCCACTAGCTTGAAGCCCTATATTCCATTGGGGGACGTGAAGGGAAAAAAAGTTCCACTCGGAACCCAAAAGAATAATACTAATAATATCATCACAATACATGCCTAGAAATACGGGGGGATAATTGGAAATAAGTTAATCAGTCGGTGTGAAAGTTTTGACTCATTAATTGACTTAAAGAATCGACTTTCTATCAACAATATCACATGTTAAGGTTTGGCAAGCCAAATGAATGAATTAAACTGCACTTCCAAAGTAGAATTTTGTCCAGAAAGTGCAGCACTTGAAGTTGCTACACTTTATAAAGCATACAATGATACAAGCTGCAGATTCATCAATAGCTGCCCAATCCCACCCAACCCTATCCCTTCGCTCTACACTGAAGATCAGGTGGCCAAAAAGGACTCTGGCAACGAATTAAGCGTGAATCTACTACCCAACAAATATACCAGAGGGAATGTACGTAGAACGGACAATATACTGAGGGAACCATTGAGTGGCAGGCACATCATGAGCTAGACCCTAGAGTAGAATCCAAACAAGGAACGACGAATCGGACATCCCACGATGACATGAAAGAGGTCGTTTGAAAAATAGATTACGACTTACGAACAATAGTGCAGTTAGCTGAAGAGGAATGTAAATAACAGGAAGAAAGGGGGATGTACTGTCGAAACCCTGAGTTCCATATCGATGCACAAACAGGATTATTTAGTGGGAAAAGATTTTCGGCATATTTTATCCACCTTCAATATATTATTTTATTTATTTAAATGCAGAAAAAACTTGGTACAATATGGCACCAAGAAAGATGTGCCACACAATAATAATAAAACAACATAGATTAAAAGTAAAAATATAAGTAGAAAACGGATAAAGAACTTCATCTGGAAGGAAAACAGTCATGCTTAACAAGTTCAAACAGCATTCGTCAGCTGTCATCGGGAAGGTAAGAAAGAAGGAAATTGCAACATGTTTGCCATTGATTACGATTCCTGGCCATATGCGATAACGTCTCAAGCCATCGATTCGAGTTATCCCGCGGACCCCAACCATGGAGTTGTGACGCACCGACCGACGCCAATCTAGCACAAATATCCTTCATCCCACGACGCCATGTCATGAATTGACCACTCCTCCACCTTTTCCATCCCGTCCGAGGGCTGGCTAGCAAACAGAGACCTGTACTGAAGCCCCATGTGGTATTACATGATGAAAATTCAGGAGTTTGATTGATACCCGGTTTCATCTCTGCAAACCAACGCCTGGAAATTAATGTTCCCTAAGTACTGTGAATAAAAGACAAAGATACTTGATGTCCTAGTTATGACCAGTGGGGTCCATCAGTTACGGGTTTAAGCATAAATACTCACCAATGAGATTGGTTGGCGGTTAAGTTTGCGGTCACAAATTCGCAGAAGTGAGAATTCATTGGATCCCCTTCACCGCTGGGGTTGAATGGTCAACTAACTAAGCCCAGCTTGTAACTTGAAGGACCTGGGCTTCAATCCGTAGCAGTGGGTGGTCATAGGTGCACACTGATGAAGTGTCCTAAAAGGGGACGAAACAGCTGCCCAGCACTCCATCTGGTTTTCAGTGGTTATTCAAATGATAGCAGTTAGTGACCAAACCACATACATGTATATATATATATATATATATCTTTTGAAACTAGTTCTACCGTGAAATAATAATCAGTAATAGTATAGATATAAAGCCCGAAACACAATCGATTTATTTATTTATTTTATTGACCCCTTTATCTAGTTTTTCTTTATACAGATCCATAAAAGTACGGTTATTCTTAGTGCTCGATAAAAAACAAATGTCACAAGAGATTAATTTATTAGGAATTTCAACGTGGGCACACTCTTTTACAAACAAACAAAACAATTCATTACAAGTGTCCATATATGTAACGTCAGGACCCTTCGCGGAATTGGACAATGGGCTACTTCATGTGGACTTGCTGGTGCGGGAATAATGTTGAGCATTAGGGTGAAAAACTCGCTACCTGAATAGATACTAGTGGACAGTGGTACAGGTGCTGTCCAACTGAACTAATCTGTAAGAAGCAAAAACTGGTGGCACTCGTCGATGTCTTTGCATATAATGTCCGCTTAATTTCTCCAACTGACTACCGTTCGGACGAAGAAACAGATGAATTCTATCACAAGCCATCTAGTTTCCTGCAAAACGTCAAGACAGTCATCTTAGCAGGTGATTTCAGCGCTCAAGCTGGATACCTATGACGGGCCAACAACAGTGCTCATACTCTATGCTTCTGTTTAGATGAATAAGGTGTTTCTCGTTGGCACTAACTGCAAGCATAAGGACATGACTTGTTTAACCTAAAGATCTCCATCATCAAATCAGCGATGGACTCAAATAGATCCCATGGTTGCATGCTATAGATGGAGAGGCGTTGAGAGAAGATAGCCGCTCCTTCTGGGACACCTGTGTAAACTTCGACCTCATACTAGTTCCTGCACTTATATGCCTAAAACCCCAAAGAACATAGAAAGCAGACAGCTACGACGCCGCTACGCATCCAACATGGCAATAACATAAAGTCGTTATTTAGAGAAGGAACACCTAAACGCTTTAGATCGAAAACATGACTCGTCCTGAAGGAACTCGGTATAATATTTAGTCGGATGTAGAAACAGTTACAAAGGATGTTGATAATCTGAAACTAACTGTAAGTAAATGCCAGTGGATTTCTTCTGCTTCATTCGAACTCACAAACGCAAGGAGACTGATTCTGGAGAAAGCTGCCCAAAAGCCAGTCAACTAAAAGTCTCCGTAATGACTGAGAACAGTGGTGGGCGAAAAGCCAGAGACACGAGGAAGACATTAGCGCGGTAGGTAACACCAGACAACTGTTTAAACTCATTAAGGGGACGAATTGTAGTGACCTAGTGGTAACCGAAACAATTTTTGAGAGGGAGGTGTTTTAATTACCTCTGAGGATAGACAACTAGAATGTAAGATGGAACATTTTGAGGAGTAATTCAACTTGCCTACAGTCACGCTAAATTTCCCCAACACTTAATGCCTACTTGAATGGGATGTAGATCATCGTCCTCCAACCATAACTGTGATGGCAACCTGTTTTAAATGTAACAGGAGACAAAACAGTGGGACGCGATGGAATGAGCCAAGAGGTGCCTTAAGACGGTGGTGAAGAACTGTTGTCTGGGTTGACTAAGGTATTAGGTAATGTTTAGGAATCAGAGTCAGTTCCGTTAGACTGACGTAAACCACTGATTATAGTCTATAAGAAGGAAGACAAGTCATCGGGCGTATAAGCTTGACTAATAATAGTTTCTAAAGTTCTGAAGGGGACATTTGACCCCCGACCTACATGTGCTATGTATGCGTTTGACCATTGAAGGAGCACAGCGTAATCCATACTAATTAAGGCACAAAGCCGTTTAACAGCTTACGTTGTTGTCACTTGTAGTGATGACAACCCGTAGTTTTCGTCAGGGATCCCCAATTTCTCCATTTTTATCTAATTTCATCATAGATTTACTAAGAGAAGTGACTCTAATAGACTTTAGCGGCTTAGGGATTGAATTGTTACCAGGGCAAAGTTTCATCGACTAAGCGTAAGCAGATGGCATAGTCCTTCTAGATAAAGATACTAACAAAATTCAACCTTCTGAATACTTCAGGAGGATATCTCGGTATGACATGTACGTGATTGGCTCCTTTCAAATGTAAGGTGATGCTGAAGGATTGGTCTACATCGACTCTGAGGTGACCAATTATCGGTGCAGTTGCATCAACTCAAATGGCCTGACTATTAGCGAAACCTCAACACGGCTAGAACTACCAATTTACGTCATGTCTGGAGCAAACGTAATGTCTGACTATCTACAAAAGGACGTGTATACTGTGCACCAATTTGCTCTGTCCTTCTTTATGGCTGACTATTAGACGTGGGTGATCTGAAGAAGCTAGCCGTTTTTGAGCATGGATATTTAAGTTCTACCTCCAATGTTAAGTGATATATGGTGAGTATTATTGAGGTTATATATATATAGCTTTAGGTAAGAAGGGCAGGTCGATCGATGGGGGTGTGAAGTTACATCGACTTCAATGCCTTGAACGTGTGTCAGGTACGATGAGCCGTCAAATTTCTCTGCGAGCTATGATAACTGATATAGGATTAGGTTGAGAAAATTAGGGGTTGGCATAAATCTATATGGTCTTTAACTGTAGTGACTTAGACTGCAGGTTAGAAACAGTCAGTCAGCCAGCTTCAACTTTGTAGGTCTTTAGTAAATCTTCACATGGAAATCTGAACAGATATGAAAATGATTTCAAAGGTGCAAATGTATACATATATATACTTCTTAAAATTCAATTAGTTGTATTCTCTACTGTTCCCACTTAGTATGGTTTCATCTCACGAAATGTACCACTTGCAATTATTGTTTTTGACTCAGTCAATTAGGCATACAATAACTAATGCTATCTTTGGATGATTTTCAAACACACGAGATAAAAAGCACGGCTGTACAAGTCGGGTCAAGACGATGCATTTATCGCAAGAAATTGAGGGGAAAAAAAGCTGGGACAGTTAAATTTCTCCAGTGAACCAAAACTTCTGACTAACTAATGAACAAACGTGCATTAGCTCAATTTAGCAAACTTGTTTAACACAAGAAGGGTATACAGACTGTAATGGACAAACATGACTGTGACAAACTACAATAGATTAGTTAAGGCTAGTAATGACGTGGAGAATTTTATTGACGATTTTAAAAATTTACAGCGATAACAGTAAATTCATAATTTGAAAATCCATTAGTGATTTTCACAGACTGAGATGAAACTTCATCAGTTCCCCTGAACTGTGTAAATTGCAAATTATGAATATGATTTAAGATGTTAACAATTAGCTCAAGTAACTAGCAAGAAATTAGGTGGTTTCAACTGATTTGGTTCTCTGAACTCAGTCAAAGTGGGTCAGAACCCAGACGAGCGAAACAGTTGCCATGTGATTACATCAGTTCTGTCTGGTTGGTTCGCAAGTACTGCTGGTTGCTGTGAATGATATACAACTATTCGTTCTAATCACTCATCAGAATATAGTTTTCATTATTAGAGTACCTCATTCAGAAAAACTTCCTACTATTGACCGAATTGGAAGTCAAGAATATTCTTATAGTTAATTGCCTTTTTTCATTCCCGTTAATCCCTTTAAGTGTCTATAAAGACCTCAGTTAGCCACAGACACGAGCTAAGAATGATCTTTAAGTCATATCAACTTTAGCATAGTTGGAAATCAATGAGCACGTAGACGGAAGTAACAGAGCTAATTTCTGTTTTTAACTTCACAAGAAATATGTGAAAAATAATATTTCACCAACTGAAGCTAAATGCATCGACAATATACAAGAGACAAGGTGTGAACAGATTTCAAATCGGACAAAACTGGTAAGAAATTGATGAATAATAAGCATGGTCGGTCAACAGTAAGAAAAAATAGGCGAATTTCGATTACATGACATAATTTTTACCATCTTCACTATTATTTAACCAATATTTTACCATTAACGAACCGATACTCTCCATTGTTTAAAAACTACTTAACCATCTTCAACAATATTGAGGCAATATCCTACACTATTCACCATTACTTAGCCAGGATTTACTTATTGTACCTATTTTAGCCATTCTTTGCCCAATTTTGCCCGAATGGGCACAAGGTATAATTTGTTGTAATAAAGCTATGAAGCAAAGACCTTAAGACAGGTTTAAACGCGTCAAATGCACTAAATAAATACATTTTTTAAAACTTCAACTGTACCTTTGGTGAAAGGACTTTGATCAATTCATTTAAAAACTTGAATTTCCCAAGTTCGGAAATAAACGTTGGACTACACCGTTTAGACAGAGATTCCAACAACTGAAACCAATAAAAATATACGGATTCTTACAGCCAATGAACTTAGAGCTTCTCTTTCATGTGGAGACTTAATCTTATGAGCAAGTAGACGTAGAGTAAAAACTGGACCATTAGGTTGAGTATCTATTAACTTAGCGATTTCATTCACTGTATCAGAATTATATTGATCAGAAACAGGATTAGTAGCTTTGCCTATACATTGGAGTAGTTATATCAGGAATATCATAACTAACTCAGGAGTTTTTCGAGTTCGTTCATCTTTTATTTTCTCATTCGCACGAAGCGTCCTTCTTCAATGAGAGCGCCTGAAATACTCTCTTCATAGGTACAATATCCAAATGACAAATTCTATTTCTTTTCAGATAGCAAGGATAAGCTAATGTTGTCCATGTTAATCTTCTCAGTATATATCTCTGTAAAGATCTAGTTTCTCTTTGAAAGCGTTCAATGACGGAGCTGTTACTACTAAGTTATGTAAGGAATTCCATTTGTTGACCATTCTGTGACGGAATCGAAATTCCACAACTGTTTTATTCCTCCTAGGTATGAACACCCTCTTGTGGTGAACTGATTAACGTATCCTGGTGGGAGAGAAGAGATTAGATGAGTCAACCCTTAAATCACACTTTAATATGCGTTATGCCAAACGAATTCGCCTCTCCTCCTTCGGTGTGACAAAGGGAAGAGGCTTAGATGTTCCGTCCTCTTATCTTCAGGGATGTGTGAGATACCATTAACTAATTTGGTGCTTACCTTTTGCGCTCCTTCCAGGATATGTGCCTCCTTAAAGAGTGGACTCGCCATCTGCATGCAGCATTCTAGATGAGGCCTGACAAATGTTGCATAGAGTACTTGGAACATTGTTTTGTCTGATCATTCGAAAGCCCTTCGAAGTACTTTTAGCATTTGAAAAGCTTTAGCCTCAGCTTCATCACAATTCGCTGTTGTGTTTAAGTCATGGCGTACAATAATTCTGAAGTCCTTTTGTCCCTTAACATCTGGTAGTTCTGCGTCCCCCAGAGAGTACGACGTTTAAGACCTCCGACGTAGGTGCATTATCACGCTTTTCTTGGAATTAATTTCCACACTCCAGAGATTAGCCCATTCAGCCTATTTATCTAGATAGTTTTTAATACTAGCTTAATATCATTAATATTTACAGCTTTTCATTTCTTAATATCGTCCGCAAATAATGAAGATGATATAAGAATTGTCGGCAGTCCATTTTTATATAATAGGAATAGCAAAATGCCAAGCGCAGTCCCCCGGAGTACTCCATTCAGTACTACTTTCCATCCTAACAGTATACCAATAACCTTCATATGATACTGGCGTCGGTGGCACAGTGGTTAGGACTCTCGCCGACCATGCACATGGTCTGGAGTTCGATCCGCTGCCGACGTAAATCTAATATCTATGGTCGGCCTACAAAATTTGGGCTACCAATAGTATCGAATGCTGAAAATTCCACACTTGTAGCAAAAGGTGCTGTGTAGAATCAAGTTGTAATCAAAAAAATACACATTGTAGACTTTTGTGTCGGTAATGCTCCCCAGAAGCTGATTGCAGAGGATGTCTAATCAGATGAATGTCTTGGAACTAACTGTTATGGAAGAAAGTTCCAAGGTTTTCGTCTGGAAATGAGGCACTTCTGAATTTCTAGCTCTACAGGGAAAAGTTGCATAGAGTAACTTCACCATATAACAAACGAAACATCAAAATGACTTGGTGGTGAGAATGTTTGTTATCTAGAATTTAGGCACGAAAGACGGTTTGAAATAATCACAATAAATCCCTGAGACTGGTAAAAAAGTTCAGAACTACTGCTTTATCGAACATTTCCCTCACAAGTATTATCCTCCATCCACTTTCTGTAATTAAAGTATAACCAATACGACAACTCTTTATCTTCACAATCTCTACTCCAACTGTGAGAACTGGACTTCAGGCAATCGAAAGCAAGATTAAGATAGTGAGCTCATTTTTACTTTCTTGGAATAAAATATTTCTTCAAAGAACTCCATTTCCACTTGAAATCCTATCACAGTAGAAGAATGTATTGCTGCCACCAGGATAAACTTTGGAGCTGAATATCAATAAAATGATACCTTAATAAGGCGGATATTTTTAGTGCCTGATGTGTAAGTGCGTAACTACGGTAGAACTTAGGGGTTCCACAGAATGCTCTTGGTGAAGGATGTTAAAAGTGAAGTTTTGAAGTGAGACAGAACTTTGAAGAGTTATAAAAGTTCTTACTAACTTGCCATTCTCAACGAAATAATGCGCAAGAGTACTACCGAATTTCATGACTGCTTTGACAATAGATGAAAATACAACAGTCAGTGGGTTGCCTCAGTCTTTTTAATATCTTACATAGTAATATACGTCATCAGCCTAAGTGTACCTGAAATCCATAAAGAACTCAATGAACTTAACTCCTTTATAGAAGGGAGCTTTAGGGATGAGCGATCGACAAACTCATTAAAGTGACTTTCTGCTAGCAGTATCACCTATCATTAATGATTTAGGTATCATTCGAGTACCTCTTTTCAACATTTACAAAGTACCTTCAAAATTAATTACTAATCCAAATACCCATACTAGAAATTACCTTGCTGTGACAAGAAAGCTTTTAATCTACTATGGGGCTCTCCAAATTGATTTACCACCATAAAAAGTCCAATGGAAATGACAGTGTAGTTTAAGATTGAACGATCAGTTCATGATTGTTTCCTCAAACCCAACTCTATATTTTTCACGAAAGTCATCCATCCATCAGTCATCGTCTCATCGTTCGCTGTTCGGTGGAAGATCGAAAACTATCAGAAAACTTGTGTGTAATAACTTTGCTGTTGGTCACATATTGGCGTAAGAATAAAGGATTCTCGAGTCGCCAATCTGTGTTCTGGTTTTTTCGCGTTGGTTATCACGAAGTGTTTCTGAAAGTCTTCCAGGGACAGTGTGAGGTCCAGCGTAGTAAGACAATGGGCACTTGTTAATGTAATGACGCCATTGTGAATTTGTCTCTCACTTACCTAATAATGCTAAGTGGGATAGTAACATTGCAAGCGTACATGTTGTGTACCTTTATGCGTCTGATTGTACGAAGCGAAACTGCATCATGTAACAAAATGTGATATGTGCTAAACTTCACATGCTCAATGGCTCCCGTACCCACTGTCAAAAGTAAACAAAAACGAGATATTAGAAATGGTGAACTAATCTAACCTGAAAATCTTTCCATGTTTGATACATATTGAGTCGCCCGGTTCATTGTATTACTGTGCGAAAGGCGGCCTGCTTAAATCTTGGGCTACCAAAATTTCCATCCTACATATTACATCTATTTCCTCGGATTTATTTTGTTTTAATTATTCAATTACGTATCCAAGTCGCATTACTTACTCTCGCGATTATTTAAAATGTTTTCAACCTGTTGATTTACGAGTATATAATAACGTTAAGAAAAAGCATCACGGAGGTTGGCAGAGATCATTAAAGTGTACTCCAACGCATCAGATGACTGTTCCTGTGATTATGAGCACAAAGTGCAGGTCATTATCGAACAAGATTAACTACTTGCATTCTCTATTATGCTCAAATGTATTTTGTAATACTGGTGTAATCACTCTTCAAGAGACTTGGCTCCATGATTCACATGACGATAATTTAGTCTCCTTAAGTGGGTTCACAATCTACAGACAAGACTGATGCAGCTCAAAGAAGAAGAGAGGTGGTGGTGTTGCCACTTTTATTAATTCTCAGTGGTCTACTGCCAACAACGTCTGCTTCAAATTCTCAAATGACAATATTGACTGTATAACTGTAAAATGTCGACCTAAACACTTACCTAAGTATAGCTTCATTTTTGTCACAAATATCTATATCACACCTTGTTGCAGTCCCTCAGAACTATCGATGTTCGCTGATGAATTCACTATTTTTGCTGCTGCTTCGTTTGGTAACTCCTTATCTATAGTGACTGTCGACTTCAACTCCTGCGACTGCAGTTTTATTACATTGCTGGGCCATGAAAGTGTTAATTTCCCAACTCGACAAAATACTTCACTTGATTTAGTATTTATAAATGATTCTGGAATATACGAAGCTCGTAAAAGAGCCCCGCTCTTCAATTCTGATCATTGTATTGTACGAGTCTTACCCAAAATTTACGGAAAGCTACACAGAAAAGCCCTCTCAAACTTGTCTAAGAAAGTTGTTCACAGATGCTACTCAAATGAGAACGTACATCATCTTAGAAACATGCTCAGTGACACAAGATGGGATTTGTTTAATGATGACTCACTTGATGACAATATCTCTAATATTACATCCTATCTGAAATTCTGTTTTGAAATCTGTTGTCCAAAAGAAACACTATTCGTCAGATTTGACCGTTTCTCCTCGCCCCAACTTAAAAACCTCGTAGAGAGAAGGGAAAACTATATAAAATGAAGGATAAAAGTGTTGTTAAAAGAACTAACTTCTTAATTAAGTCTGAAATGCAGAGGCTGAATGTAATATATAACCAGAAATTCATATTCTGCAAAAATCCTTCTAATATGTGAGAACTATTTAAGGAAATCACTGGTGGTAAGCTGGTAAACAATTTTCAGTATTCTTTTGATGTATGTTCTCTTAACAAATCCTTTATTTACTCTCCCTCAAATGCCATGCTTCCCAGCATCACTTGTGTCAATAATACCCCTTTCCAGGTTTTAACACAAATAATGTTCAAAAGTGTCTCAAGTCTCTAAACCCTTCCCAGAGCTTAGGTCCAGACTATGTACCTAGTATTATCTTTAAAAAATGTTCTGATATTCTGTGTCACCCTCTCACTGATCTATTTAACAAATCTTTTTCCGATAATATTGTGCCTGCCGTTTGGAAAGACATTAAAGTTGTACCCATACCTAAATCTTCTACTGGAGCATGTGTCAAATTTAGACCCATTGCTATTACCTCTCCTTTTTTGAAAACTATGGGGAAATTACTTTTACTCAGTCTTGTACCTTCGCTTAAATCCTTTAATGACCCTGAACAACTCGCCTATAAGCACAGTAGGGGCACTTTAGACGCAGCTGCCGTCTTATATCATAACATTGCTTCCAGTCTAGACAAGGGGGCTAAATTTGTTCGTGTTGCCCTCCTAGACTATACATCTGCTTTCGACTCGGTCCCTAGGGACATCTTATTAAATAAACTTGCTGCTAGTCAAACAGAATGTTGGGCTGTTAACTGGTTACATTCCTATTTCTCAGATAGAAAGCAGTACACCGTATATAAAGGGAAGTCCTCCACTTCATTG